TTATCTTCACCAACGCTGATCTCCCCCCAGTATCCTCCTCCCACAGGGATGCCCTCGTCATCCGCACAGAGATCAACGACACCATTATTCACAGAACTTACATTGACACGGGCAGCTCCGTCAATGTAATGTACCTCAGCACCTTCAGAGAGCTACACCTGGAGAGGGGGTCCCTTCGGCCGATAAAGACCCCTCTTGCCGGCTTCACCGGCGACACCATTGATTCCGAGGGGGTCATATCCCTCCCGGTCATCTTCGCCGACGGCCTCCTTAGAGCCAAGCTCGAAGTGGAGTTCGTCGTCGTCAACATCGACTGCGCCCACAACATCATCCTCGGCCGGCCAGCCCTCGAGGATCTCGAAGCCGTCATCTCCATGAGGCACCTCTGCCTCAAGTTCTCAGCCGAAGGGGGGATTGGTTACTCAAGGGGGAACCAAAAACTTGCCCGCGCTTGCTACCTTCAAGTTACAAAGAAGGTTAGCAAGACGGAATTCCGCGTTGACACCATCACCGGAACTGTGGAAGCGGAAGAAAAGAGGCCGAGGGCTGAACCAGCTGAGGAGGTAGAAGACTTCGTGCTCGATCCGGCCAAGCCGGAGAGAGTCGTGAAGATTGGAGCCAAGCTCCCCGAAGATTTGAAAACCGGCATCATCAGCGCCCTGCGCGCCTACTCCATTGTTTTTGCATGGGGGCCGGAGGACATGCCGGGGATCGGCCGAAGGGTCATCACCCACCGCCTCTCGGTGGACCCTTCGGCCAAACCAGTACAGCAGCGGAGGAGAACCCTCTCGGCCGAGAGGAGGGAATTCGTGAAGAAGGAGGTCGCCATGCTCCTCTCTATCAGGCACATCAAGGAGGTAAAATACCCCTCATGGCTGGCAAACGTGGTCCTCGCACAGAAACAACCCTCATTCCGCATGTGCGTGGACTACACGGATCTCAACAAGGCGTGTCCCATGGACCCTTTTCGTTTGCCAAATATTGATCAACTTGTGGATGAAACCGCGGGGTGTGAAATCATGTCATTCCTCGACGCATTCCGCGGATATCATCAAATATACATGCATGAGGAAGAAGCCGAAAAAACAGCCTTCATGACTCCCGAGGGCATCTTCTGCTACCTCGTCATGGCCTTCGGCCTAAAGAACTCAGGTGCCACCTACACTCGAATGGTGGCCAGGGTATTCCATGCCGTCCTGGGGCGCACCATGGAGCCGTATGTTGACGACATGATCGTCAAAAGCAAGCAACCAACAAGCCATGCTGATGACCTCAGGGAGATCTTCGCCATCATGCAGAAGTTTAGCCTTCGGCTGAACCCAAAGAAGTGTACCTTCGGCGTTCAGGGGGGCAAATTCTTGGGCTACATGGTGAGCCGAAGGGGTATCGAGGCCAACCCCGAGAAAATCCAGGCCATCATCAACATGGAGCCCCCACGCAACGTAAAGGAGGTCCAACGATTGACGGGCCGCCTGGCAGCCCTCAATCGCTTCTTATCAAAATCGGCGGAGAAGTCCTTACCCTTCTTCCAGATCATGAGGAAAACCGCCGGTTTCCAGTGGACTTCAGAATGTCAGGGGGCATTCGAGGAGCTGAAACGATACTTATCTTCACCCCCTGTGCTCTCTAAACCCAAGGTGGGGGAAATCCTGTACCTTTACTTGGGTGTCAGCCCAGCTGCCATCAGCTCTGTACTCATCCGGGAAGAGGATGGCATCCAACATGCCATCTTCTATGTTAGCAAGACCCTCAGGGAAGCGGAGCTCCGGTACTCCCCCGTGGAAAAAACGGTGTTGGCTATCGTGTGGACCGTCAAGAAGTTGGGCCATTACTTCCAGGCTCACCCAGTCCAGGTCCTCACTCACCAACCCCTCGGCGCCTTGATGAGGAGCCCCACTAGCTCCTCCCGAATGATAAAATGGGCTGTCTTCTTGAGCCAATACAACATCGACATCCGTCCTAGGCCCGCCATCAAGGGCCAAGCCCTAGCGGACTTCGTGACGGAGTGTACGTTAAGGGCAGCCACGGACGAGGAGCCCTCGGCCCCTTCGGATGATTGGTGGACCCTTTACACCGACGGCTCCTCCGCCACCAAGGCATGTGGAGGAGGGGTGGTTCTCATCTCACCCGAGGGCTTCCGGGCCTATTATGCAGTCCGTTTTTCCTTCAAAGTCTCCAACAATGAAGCCGAATACGAGGCCCTCCTCTGTGGCCTTCGGCTGGCAGCTAACATGAAGACCCGACAAATCCACGTCAAGTGCGACTCCAAGTTGGTAGTCGGCCAAATCTCCGGGGAGTACGAACCCAAGGAAGGGAGAATGAAGCAATACAAGGAGGCGGCCAAGGAGTTGCTTAAGGTATTTGAGGCACACTCTCTTACTCAAATACCGAGGGCTCAAAACTCCGAGGCCGACATTTTATCAAAGCTCTCGGCAGAATCCCCTTAGCATATCTCGAAGATTGCCAAAGTGGAAGAACTCAGCCTCTCTAGCATACATGCTAGCCCCGTCATGAGTATACAACAAAGACAGGAGGACTGGATCTCGGACATTGTTGCCTTCATCACCACAGGGCAACTGCCCGAGGATGAGGCCCGCGCCAAGCTGGCAAAGCTGAGGGCTCCCAGCTACATTATCGAAGACGGGAGGCTTTACAAAAGGTCCTACAACGGGACACTACTTCGGTGCCTTCATCAAGATAAGGCCGAAGTGGCGATGGAGGAAGTACACAGTGGCACTTGTTCAGCTCACCAGGGACCCTTCTCCATGTCCCGAAGGCTGATAATCCAGGGCTACTTCTGGCCTACGATGGCCCGGGATTGTGCGGACCTTGCCCGGAGGTGTCCCGCGTGCCAGCACTTCCAGAAAGCCCCCGGCAGGCCAGCGGTCAACTATGCCCCCATCAGCACATCCATACCTTTCGCTCGATGGGGCATAGACCTTGTGGGCCCTCCGCCGAGGGGTACCTCCAACAACAGGTACATCATTGTCGCCATCGATTACTTCACAAAATGGGTGGAAGCGGAGCCCCTCGCCAGCATCATTGAGGTCAGGTGCCGTCACTTTGTTCCCAAGAACATCCTCACAAGGTTTGGCGTCCCTCAACAGATCATCTCCGACAATGGGACTCAGTTTGAGCAGCCCCTTTCTGTGCCCTCCTAGAAGCATGGGGCATCAAACACACCTTCTCATCCGTTGCCTACCCTCAGGGCAACGGTCAGGTGGAGAACGCCAACAGGACCTTGCTTGAGGGCCTAAAGAAGAAGCTGGAGGCCGAAGGGGGCGGTTGGGTGGAAGAGCTCCACAACATCTTATGGGCCTACCGTACCACCCCTCGGCGGGCAACTGGCGAGACACCCTTCTCCCTTTGCTACGGATTTGAAGCCAAAGCCCCCACTAAGGTAACTCTTCCAACCCGGAGGGTCACACAGTATGATCCAGAGGCCAACGACGCCAATATGGCCCTCGACCTCCACCTGATTTCAGAACGCCGAGAGCAAGCCTTCATGCGCACGGAAAACTACCGAAGGCAAGTGAAAAGCTACATTGATGCCAAGGTTCGCTCCCGGGAATTCCAAGTGGGGGACTATGTTCTCCGAAGAAGGGAAGCTAGCCAACCAACCGAGGGCGGAAAGATGCCACCAAAATTCGAAGGCCCCTACATCGTGGCATCCATCATAAAGCCGGGAACTTACAAGCTAAAACGCCCTAACGGGACTGAAGTCCCTAGGCACTGGAATGTACATCACTTAGTTAAATTTTATCAATAACATCAGAGCGGCCAAGCCCTCATAACTGGTGAATGTATTATTTTACGGCCCGAGGCCTAAAAATTCTGAAGAATGAAGACATTTCGAAGAAACCGAGAACATGGAACAAGATTATTACAAGGGCCAAGCCCTCATATCACCCCCCAGGCCCAAGGCCTTACCACAATGGAAGAACTCTCGGCACCAAGTGCCGAGGGTAGACAATACTATCACCTACAACAAGTACCACCTGTCCTCAAAGGAGACCCCTCGGCACCTGGTGCCGGGGGGACACGCCACTAACGGCTTTCAACAAATGAGAAAAAACACCAAGTGTTTCCACAGAAGACCCTTCAGTACCAAGTACCGAGGGTAGATAACACAATCCCCTTCAACAATCGGGGAGAAACACCAAGTGTTTCCACAGAAGACCCTTCGGTACCAAGTACCGAGGGTAGATAACACAATCCCCTTCAACAATCGGGGAGAAACACCAAGTGTTTCCACAGAGACCCCTCGGTACCAAGTACCGAGGGTAGACACCACAGTCCCCTACGACAAGTGAAGGAAAAACACCAACTATTTTTACAGAAGACCCCTCGGTACCAAGTGCCGGGGGCCGTACATCGGAACAAACACCAAGTGTTGTTTCCTAAGCCGTACCCCTCGAGGACGCCTATACCGAAGGCGCCACCTCTCGGTGCCGGCAACACGTAGTGCACCCGGCCATTTGCAACCAGTGTGCAAATGAAAACCCTTCCCAGAAACGCTTTCCGCGTCATCACCCCAAGGGTATGACAAGCATGAGAAATGCCCAGGATTCGACTTTCAAACCGGAACGCTTTCCGCGTCATCACCCCAAGGGTATGACACGCACGAGGAATGCCCAGGATTCGACTTCCAAACCGAAACGCTCCCCGCGCCACCACCCCAAGGGTGTGGCAGACCACGGACTATGTCTAGCGCCGAGGGGACGACTTTCAAAACTGAGGCGCTTTCCGCGCCATCCCCCAAGGGGAGGCAGGCTCCAGACCACCATATCTTGTGCCCAGGAAACGACCCTCGATCCCCTCGGAACTTGGAAGGTTAACCCGAGGGGGAGCTAATGGTGTATTCTGTTACCTCCCGATAGGCCAAGCCTTACCAAGAAACCAAGTTTCTTGATGCCCTCCCTTCACTACTCAAAAAAAAATGGGGTGGTGAAGGGGAGTAGACTCGGCGAGAAATCAATGAGTACATCACACCAACAATTCACAGAAACATACCGAGGGCTCCCCAAGGGAACGCCTCCGTTACGTGAAAGTTCACAAGTACAAAGGATACCATTCACAACGGACATCATCAACAAATGGCTAAGTCCACTCAAGGATTGCCTCCGGCTACACCTAAAATCGAAGGTTCAAATACTACAAAACATGGCAGGCTCAGCCAACAATAACTCAAAGCGTCCCCGAAGGCCACTACATAACAAAACTATCAAATGGTGGCCAAATCAAATCAAGAATCACCTCCGGCACCTCACTACAAGACGAGGGGATATAACAAACAACATAAGGCTTTTATTGCCACAAGCCAACATCACAAGGCAAAGGGAACTATCCTAAACCTACAACGCCTACAACCGAAGGGTCCCCTCCGAAGGCTAGCAGCAGGAAATACTTAAAAAAAATCTAAGTAACCACTCCACACCGGGCCCATCGCACCACTCGTCGACCGAGGACTCGACGACCGAGGACAGCCATTGCTTGTGCTCCTCTGCTCACCACCCCCTGCCAAGAAACCAGAGATGGCATCCCCTCGGGCTTTCTCGACGGCCTCCGCCTTGGCGGCCTCGGCCTCCCTAACAGCTCTCTCAAGGGCCTCAGCTGCGGACCTTTCAGCCTCGGCCTTGCCCCGGTCTGCGGCCTCCGCCCGCAGGGTCATCTGCCAAAGGCTCTCCTCCAGCATAGCCATCTGCCAGATGGCATCGGAATTCTGGCGGATGAGCTCCCACATCTTGGCATCCTGCTCGGCCTTGCGAAGACGCCACTCCTCTAGCCTCCGGGCCTGCTCTCCGAGGGCAATGCAGGTCTACAAAAAATAAAGAAGTTAGGAAGGCCGTACATTATTTCCTAGCACAAAGTAAAAACGGTAAACTGTCAAAAACTTACCGTGAGGGAAGACCGGAGGATCTTGTCCTCAAGGGCTTGGTCATCATCAGCCCCGAGGGCTGCTCTGTCAATCTCAGGGGTCATACCCCTCAGAAGCACCCTCGGGTCAGCCGTGCAATTCATCACGGCCGTACCTACCGGGAGGGAAACCGTTAGGACCTCGGAAGATGGCTCCCGGACACCCCCCGGCACTTCCGCCACCGTCATCTCCTCGTGCATCCCGGAGGCGGGGCAATCGTCAACAATGACCACGGGGGGACCTTTCTTCCCGGCATCCCCGGTCTTCGGCTTTTTGCTCTCGGGAGCCTTGCCCGCAACTTTTCTCTTGGCAGCGGCAGCTGCATCAGTATTTGGGGCCGCCGACGGCCCCTCCAGCTTCTTGAAGAAGTCACCGGCGGGTTTTGGGACGCCAACATCCGTTCCCTTCGGGGCCTTGGAGGACTTTTTCTTCTTTAAATCAGCAAGCCCCCTGACGTTCATCATGTTGACCGGGATACCTGCAAAACAATATGGGGTTAAAACCGAGGGGTCACTAACAGATGGCACAAAAAAGAAACAAACCACAAACAAACTATGGGCTAAGATACGAAAATGAGGGTGCCCTCAGCCACTACCTCCGGAGGCTCCCTCAAACCCCGGGAACTTCTCATCTGTTTCCCCCAGGAAGCGATACCGCCGGAACCCGAGGGTGTAGAGATCCTCCTCTTGGGTGCACTCCTTGATGGCTATGTTTTTGTCTCGGCCCTCCGGGATCTTTTCCAGGATCCGGCCATCTTTCTCGAGGGCGGCGCTCCTCCTCTTCTCATGCCTCCTAAACCGGTCACGCAATTCCCTCGGGAAGGGGCTCTCGGTCAACTTCACGTAGCACCACCGGTCTTTCCACCCTTTGTTCGAGGAGGGCGCCTCAGTAAAAAGCTTGAACAGGGCCACCTGCTGCAAGTTTGCGAAGCCCTCAACATTCGCATGCCCCCCCCCCCCCCCCCCGGCACAGGTTGAAGCTCTGGAAGAAGAGATCCAGGCTAGGTGTTACCCCCCAGGATTTGCATAGCTGGAGGAAGCCCGTGATGTAGGAATGGCTGTTCGAGGTCAATTGGCAGGGGACCAAACCCACGAACCGGAGGTACTCCCGGAGGAAGGGGTGTAGGGGGAACCGGAGCCCCATCGACACGGAGAGGATGTGCACCGCAATGCAGCCCTCGGGAGCCCGAGAGAGGACGTCATCGGGACCCGGTGCCACCACGATGGCCGAGGGGCCCACGTGTAATTGAGTGACATAAAGATCCGCCGCATCAGCTTTCGACCTTATCTCTAAGGTGGTGGTATTCAAGTAAGAATACCCCTCGGGCATATCGAGGGGTTTCCCTTGGTCTGCAACGCTGCTCTTCTTCTTGGGGGCAGCAACCTTCGCCTTCTTTTTTCCGGGGGCCACCCGGATGGGAACCGCATTCAGCGGCCGAGAGGTGCTGGACTCGCCAGTGCCCCGAGGGGGGAGAACAGCAACAGTGACCCTCACGCCCTCTTTCTGCGCCTCTTCCTCAGCTACTTTCCAGGCAAGGGTCAGCTCTTTGTCTTCACACTCTTGTTCAAAGCCCTCGGCTTCCGCCTCAGCAACGAGGGCTTTCTGCAACTCCATTGCGACGACAGCGTCTTGTCCTGCTGAGGGCTATTCGCTTGTGGACTCCACGTCTGAGATGACTTCATCCTCCATCGAGGGCGCCCCCGAGATGTCCTGGGAATCACTTTGGGAAGACATCTTTGCACTAGTTCGAGGGCTCGGAAACACTAGAGTTTTCTAAAGTTCTAACTCCTAGCCTAAAGGCACAGGGCACAGCTAACTAGGAGGAGAAGAGCAGGGGGAACTAACCTTAAAAGCTGGGAATCAACCGAAGGCAGCTGTTTCTCTCTCTAGGAATTTTGGCTGAGCTTCGTTAACGGGTAAATCGCACATGGGAAGTGAAGCCGGCCATGGGGTATTTATAGGCGTTGGGATCCGGGCTTGGGCCTGGAAACCGGGCCTCCGGTTGGACTGCCATCATTACGAACCGTGGTTTCGCCCAATCAGTGACGTCCGCCCACGGACAGCCAACGAGCACACACCACGTGGCAACCCCCCCCCCCCCCAACGGCTATATTCTGACGATAGGTATTCCAACGGCTATATCTCCAACGGCTATGTTCTGGGAGCTCCCGGCTACACTTGACAGATCACTCCTTCATCAACCAAGAAACACTAGCCCCCGGGCTTTTCACTTCACTCCACTTCATCACCAAGAGCCCACGGGTACACTTACCCAGAAACACTCCCGGTTTGTGCCCCGCACACTACATAACAAATGCCTTCGGGCTCACTCCTTCAGAAGCCCACGGCTTCATAACAGGCCACCCCTCGGGGATCCCCCCTCAGCACTTTGAGGTCCGGGTAGCCCCCGGGGAATGCGCCTCATTGACGGGCAGCCTACGGCGCACAAGTTACAGGAGCCCTCTGATATCCTCCTCACCAACTAATCAACAAACAGGGGACACCCCGATAACACTTCAATTACTACTCTCATTCATTACGCCCTCGATCCCCATATTGAGGGACCCCCATTCGGCACCTCCCAGGACATCAACAACAAGCCTCCGGCTAATCAACACATGAGCCCTCAGAACAGGGAAAGCCTTCGGCATCATCATTATTCTCCATTTCGAACCAAGGTTTCACATTTTCGATTCATCGTTGGGGGAATTCGGTGCACTCTTTTTCCCTCATTAGGATTTTTCCCACAGGGTTTTTCCTAATGAGGTTTTTAACGAGGCATCCCCCCAAAATGAAACGAAAAGCGTCAGCCTTCGGCCCAAAACAACAACGCAACTACTCTACTCCTTTTCACCACTTTGCAAGTGCCTCAAGGAGTGGGGGACTGGAGGACCCCCTCGGGAAAATCACAAAAATCGCAAACATGACCCCTCAAGTCCCGACATGTGGGTAACTGAGGGACTGCCCTCGGCAGAATAGACAAACAGCAAAGCGCCCACAACTCTACAAAACTACAACGGAACAACGGCAGAGGACAAACACAACTACTCCTTTTACCTCAAGTACCTTTCGGCAAAAAGAGTGAGGGACTCCTGATGGAGTATATGGCCCGAGAACCCCCGGCCCACAGACTCCTACTACTCTAATAAAGGCCCAATAGGCCCAGGAAACAGAACAGGCCCAAATCACGGCGCCCAAGATACCAAGCAGCCCACAAATGCGCACCAGGGGTGCCTTCGGCCCCCTGGCCGAAGGCTCTAACTCTCACAGGAGGGCCAAGACAGCAAAACAAAGTTACTGGGAAAAACGGCGAAAATCAGTAGCCCTCGGCACCAAGGGGGTCCCCGGTACTCAGAGCCCTCGGCTAGTCCTCTACAGCCGAGGGCACCTTTCCCGACATGATATCCGCGCCACATGCGTACAGATCACTGTACCCTGTACAACGTCCCATCCAACAGCCGCATTAAATGCGGCCACATGCGGTTGCCAGCGCCAACCAGTTGAGATGACCTCTCGGCCAATAGACGCTTGACATGTGTCCCTGTCTGGCATTTATTGCTACTATAAATAGCACCCCATTTCCCCATTTGTAACCACGCTGAAAACACTGAACACTTTCTAATATACTTTCTCTCTCTATACTTACTTGCTCTGACTTCTCTTTTGTTATTCCCCATAATAACCCCTCGGATAAGCTACCCCCGGGTACACTATCCATCAATGTGATTATTGGTAATCTTATATTATTGCATATGGTGAGCTCAAGGTTTTTCAATTGTGAGTCAAATGGTTATACAATACTTCGAACTATCAAATAAGCCCTCGAACTTTCACAAAAGGTGTAAATACGCCCTTTTACATTAGGTTTTGTCTGGCTGTTTCCATTTAGGGCGGTTTCCGGTGGAAAGTTTTGATGAAACTTTTTGAGCATCTTCTTCATTAAGTCTAGTTTACTCATACCAAATTTCAGCTAAAAATTCAATCGAGAAGGCAATCACATGATTTTGTGAAATATACTGTGCGACCTAACTGCGCAGTTATCTTCAAAAAATCATTTGACTGCCTTCCCGAATGAATTTTTATCTAAAATCTGGTATGAGTAAACTAGACTTAATGAAGAAGATGTTCAAAAAATTTAAACAGAAACCGCTCCAAATGGAGATGGACGGACAGAGCCTCCTATAAAAGGGCTTATTTATAATTTGCACTTTTTATGAAAGTTCGATGACTTATTGATAGTTCTCCCATTAATCATTTATTCTACACAGTACATATATAGATGCATATATATATAACACGTTTTTTGGAATTGAAAAGTTAGACAATCAAACCGTTTGAGATTCTTTATTCATCTACTTTACTTTTAACTAACGATTTTTGTGTCGCTAATGAGTTTTCATTTGTAAATTGATTTTTACTGATTGTTAGTTATCTTTTACTCCCTCCGTCCCGTTGGAATGTTCCCGCTTTCCTTTTTTGGATGTCCCGTTGGAAAGTTCCCATTTTCCTAAATGGAAAGTTATCCTACATCAAAACAGGGTCAAACAGTGCAACACACTGTCAAACAGTGTCGAAACAGTAAAATTTACCCATTGGTAAGTTTATTTCCTTAATATGTGTGTAGGTCAAACTGGGAACATTCCAACGGGACGGAGGGAGTATTTGTTAAGGGTCGTCGCTTAATATTGCACATTTTGGGTAACAACTTATTCAAAATAACCAAACTGGTGTGATATTTATCCCTAACTAGTATTCTCACCCGTGTGTTGCACGGCTAAAATTTTTAATTCAAATATTATGATCAAAGAGTAATATGTAAATGTAAAAAATGAAACATAGGAATATAAAAATATCTATTTAACGCACATTAGAAAGTTTCATATCCTAAAATAACATAGTATAAAAATCTATAGATTTTGAAACATTCTTTGTAGATATCATTTGTTATCTCGTTTCTCTTCTTATTTTGGGATTAAAGTTTTCATCCTTCCAGATTGGTAACCTTGGAAGCTCTTTTCCGATAACCCTAGTTACAACATAGTTGATCTAGCTTCATAAATGTTATGGAAGTTTTTTTTCCTTCAAATTGAGGAGAATATTCTTGGTCATAATCACGGTTAACCCAACAATATTTTGGGAATTAACCACAGTTATTTTTTATAAATTCAATCACTTCGAGTGGTGGCTCTTGTACAGTAAGAGAAAAGACCTTAACCACGGTTAACCCAACAGTATTTTGAGAATTATTTTAACTCAGCAACATTTTTTGAATTATCTATTTAATTAGCATTATTTCGGGGGGACTTAGAATATTCAGATCCTAAAAAATTCTCATTTGCTCCGTATTACTTACCCATATAACTCAATTAAGAGTACACAAACGAAAACATTATGAGCACATACAATGATATATTGATAAAAAAAATATATCAATCTCTGAAATCTAAAAAATATATCAGTAATTATAAATATTTGAAAAATTAATTATGTTAAAAAAATGTTACCATTTGTAATATTTTACAATTATAAGGCTAAGATATTCCTGAAATTGACTATGCATTTGTTGTCACCGCTAGACTAAGACTATCACCAACTCTTTGATGGAGAGAACATTCAGAGGTTGTTTACTTTCGATTTAATAAACTTAATGAGACAGTGACATAATCATTCAATTCATTATGTCATGTTCACTTGTGACTTTATTGAAATTATGACTTAATTATTCAGTCATAATCGGATTTAATTTTTAAGCCGGAAAATAATAGTCTTCCCCATTAAGATGTCTTTCCCATCAATTCTTTTAAATCGATTGTGGAATAGATTTATGTTAATAAATGAAATTTTTCATTGACAATTTGACATCATACCCAAGAATAATACTAAGTTAACTATTTTATTCAATTCAGACTATTTTCAAACAAACATCTTAATCGAAATATGACTTAATAGAACAAAAGTAAACATCAATAATAGTAACCGTATTTGTTAAACATCAGTACGTATATCATAAAAAATACCTTCTGTAACATTAAAAGTGACGCACTGACCTTTGGTTTTATTAATCTAAAATAAGATGTCCATAAAAGTATTCTTTGGTCCATAACATTTTAAACCCATTTAATAACCCAACAACATCCATATCCATATACTCCAAGTCTCCAACTGTTCATCTTCCACCTTCGAGCATCTTCCTACTAAGTTGGTCGGCACCGCATATAAGTTACTCCGTATATAATTACTCTTTCTGGTCTTTTTTCTTGAAAACTTTTTAGCTTCAATTCTTTGTGAGTTAGATCAGCCAAATTGGTTTTAGAGTTAAACAGGTGGGAGCATTTCTGGGACGATGCACCACGAATGACACATAAACGGTGATCTGCAAAGAAGCTAAATCGCCAGGTGAAGTTTACTGAAATTCTAATGCTTTTCAGAAATTTCTTTCTAAATAAAGTCCATACATTGATTGTCTAGTATATACGGAGTAATTAACAATTCTAATTCAAATATTCAATCCCTGATTTCCTATGCAAGATCTACTGATCTACTCAATGAAAGATTGAGGTAAATATTCAACTCTGAATCCTATATATGGTAGTTTTGGCACTTAATTCACGTTTTGGCACATTTTTATTAAAGCAATTAAATTAAATCTTATCTATAATTTTTTTAGCAAATCAGTTTAATTTAGCATTTTCATACAAAAATAATACTCCGTAATTGAAGTATTTTAAATCATTCAGTGATTCGCAATTCAAAACATCTACGGTTCATATATGTTATATACAATCACTGAAATCGTTTAAATGGAAACCATACCTCACATCTAAGCTTTTTTATAAACAGAGTCTAACATGTTGAGAAAAAGCATTTACAGATATATTTTAATGTTGAATAGCAAACTTATATGTAAGATAAATCAGGTTTATGAGTATTCAACATCTCGTAACAAAGCAGCTTTATTTAAGATGTTCACAATCATGTACCTTTAGCATAAGATTCAGAACTATTCACGATGTTTTTATATTTTAATACAGAGTACTTTATAATCTATTTCGTCCAAAAAATGATACTCGGTATAACTTTTGTATATTTAAGAAGAGTTATTTTAGCAGTTTCCGCTTAAATTGAAACTCAGATATATACGGTTCTTAATGAGGGTGAACTCACCATTTTAGAAGCTAGTTAAAATTTGTAACTTGATACATAACTGAATTACCAATAACCCATGAATATTTTGCATGTTACCTCGTCGTCGTGAAAATATGAATTTCATAGAAGACTGATTTACATGATGCCCTAAACTTACAATGTGCTACAACGTTGTGCACACGTGCAACTTGATTTATTTGGAGTGGTAACTGGTATCCTTGATCAAGCACCACATTTCAACTATGACAAAATGACAAAATCTGCACTACAAAAAAGAGTAGTTTCGTCGATTGTGACAACATTTGTGATGGAAGTCCAGGAATTAGGTGTATATATATAGAAGACATACACAAACTGAAATACAGAAAGGCGAAGAAAACTTAGCTTGGAAGTCTCAAATAACGCTACAACGCTAAAGTAAATCTAATGGGTGGTGTCAGGTGAAAAGAAAAATCATCTTACATTAAGAATTGTAAGCTAAGTTTGAAGCGGCAGACTAAGAGCATTAAATATTGATGTCGATATATACTTTGTATTTTATCTAGATGGATCCCAATTCAAAACAATAGCATGTGAAAAAGAGTATGAGTATTGGTGGTAGAATATGAAAAGGTGGATAAACCAAAAACCAAAAGGTGGAAATTAACGGCAGGCTACAAAGCACGAAGTCCATTGCCGCACACAATAATATTAAATCGTCACAATTTCTTTTGAATCCATGTCACCCACAAAATATAATAATAACGCACTTGCCTAGAATCTTCAATTGCAAGCCTTTGGTCCATGCAATTTTGGCGGGAACTTATGCCCCAAGAAACCTTTTGCTATTATATTAAGATAGATTGTATCAGTTGCTCATAATTTATTAGAACTGAATGCCTAATAAACAGTGTTTAAAAGGATTAAAAAGGCGCCACCTAGGGCCTTAGCACAAGGCCTCACCTAAACGCGCATGCGTGAAGAAAGGCGGTCCAATGAAGGACGACCAGCCCTTAAATTTGACTTAGTTTAAAGACTATTGGCAGCAACCCACAACACTAAGGTCTACTACCTTATAATAAATATCATGAGAAGAGCTCTAATTTATAGCTACGTTGGAATGTGGAGTGCCTGCTTCAACCGGTGTGGGAAATAACTATAAGCAGTAGACTTGGAACTCAATTCGCTTTGATATCATAGGAACGTCTAAACTTGCTCAAATTATATAAATTGCAAGCTAGTCTTTTCATCATCAACATTATTATTATTATTATTATTATTATTAGAAATGTTTACATATCGATCACTAAAACAAAAATTGTTTTAAAGAATGTGAACTTTTAAGTGTACTAACTTTAAGAAATAATTATATATTTATGACTAAAATAAAGATTGTTTATAAAAATATGATTAGTGGGAGTAGTAATAGAATCATAGTAACTAATGTTCAATTTTTAAATTTAAGTTATCATGATAATAGTAATTATTAGTCATATTTGTGTAAATAAGTTATTTTAGTATTTTTTTGAAAAAAAACTCTAACTTTACATTTAAGTGATATGACATGATATTATAACAATGTGTAGTTATATTTTTATAAATAAGTTTTATTTGAGTAATATTTTTCAAAAAAACCCTCTTGTTGTCATTATTATTACTATCATTGTTATTGTTGTTGTTATTATTAATACTACAAACATTTTTATCGCTATAAAAACCTATTTTTTTATCATTCAACCAATATTTTAGCCTTTATAGCTATATGAATATCTATATCTGTATATATATGTTATATGTGAGTTTTAAAACTTTTTCTATTTTATTTTTGTAGGGAAATTCAAAATATTATATTTTTTGCATGATATTATCACATATCACATTTATATACTTACTAATAGCTCTACAGAAATTAAAAAAGATATTATCCCATCGATCCTTTTCTCCATCCTCTCCTCTTTCCTTCAACATTTCTTCTCTTTCATATTTATTTCCAGATTTTTTCTCCAATCAATTCTCCCATCTCGGGCGAATTACGAAGGTACAAATGCTGAATTTTTCTCCTCAACTCTTGCCACCGGCGGGCAGCAGCAGTTATGAGAGGTAAGTTTTAATTTTCTTTTTTCTTCTACTCCTCCCTTCTTCTTCTCCCTTCTTTTCCTTCCTTATGCGGCAGATCCATCTCTCCTTGTTCTCCCTTCTTTTCCTTCCTTATACGGCAGATTCTTCCGTTTTTTTGCAGCCAATTTTGATTATTTATTTTTGTTTCAGTTGCTTTCCAGATCTACTCCCGTACTTCGGCTTTAGTGCTTTCCTTTCTTTATTTAGTTTTTTTTCTTATGTTATCTTTAACATATATATAATAAAAAAAAATGTATGGGAGTTTAGGACGGGATTTTGGGCGAGAAGTGTGAAAAGACTTGGCCTAATTTAGATTAGTTCTCAAGGAAAATGGTGGAATAATGATGGAAAATATTGATTAGTGAAATATTGACACAACATACTACAACACTAAATCATTTAATATTGATTAGTAATAAATACACGCATGGCTCGAAGTAACTTTTAGAATTCCAATAGTAGACCCTTGAAATAATGCTTCTTTAATTGCAGAAGACAATTTGCACAAAATACTAAAAGCTATCCGTATATTGAGTAGTATTCCGTAATAAATACAGAGTAACTTTTTGAATTTCCAACTGTATACAATAATGGAGACTCTTAGAATCCATCAAAAACACAATTTTTACAAATGGGAATTATACTCCGTAGTAAAGGGAGCGAGGTTCAAAATGACTCTTGAAATTACCAATAATATATATTTATTGTCATACTGCGGGATAGGACTATACATATATATATATATAGTATATATACGAGCAAAGATCACATGGAACCCTCATCGAGCTACTCCAAGCTACTTCAATATGTGAAACCTGTTAATGTGTCATGACTCATGATTAAGTAAGTGATTTGAAATGTCATGATCGTATCCAAGAACTGTATGTTTAAAAATAGGTACGTATTTGTTATATCAAGAAAAGTTTTCCTTTAGATCTTAAAGAATATAATACTTCGTACTTTAAGTCTTTAACGGTGCAAATGGATGCAGTGGTATTAGTTTACCAAAGAGTTGCTCCAAATGTAAATTTTGAAAAAGACAATCACAATAAATATATCGTTATCTACCTAAGTTAGGCTTTAAAATGCTCTGAAGATGAATTTGTTGTGGATTAATAATAATGGCCGGTTTGGTGGATTTAAAATATGGCCGGTTTGGTGGCATTTTCCACATCTAACCGTTCCTCGGAGACCTTCATCCATCTCATTCTTAATACGTGTCGACTTAGGTCTTCCGTTAGCCCGAAGCATGGATGGATCATGCACGATTTGAGGTCCATTGTAAGTAGGCCAATAATCACGATCAGAAATGGGTTTGAACTCTATGATATGTGGCCGTGTATTGGTCAGATGTGAAAAACTTATCCACAAATGGAGCATAAGACAAACTACGTTTTCTGCACACGGCTAAGACATGGGAGCATGGAATCTTATATATCTCCATCTTTTTACAAGTGCAAGTTTTCCATTTCAGATGGACAGTTTGTTTTCTCCCACCCTTCCCCAATGTTCGGCCACCACAACCGGTTTCCACTTGAAATATCCCTCGGCCTAAATCAAATGGAGTAACTGTGTGATGCTTCACCTTCTCTCTATTCTTATCAATTAAATCTGTGATGTATGGGGAGTACTTGTGACCTTCTGTCACTCTCATTTTACTGGTTTCACGCCTATTAACAAAATAAGCATTAACCCAGTAAAAGGAAACCTGGACCAAAGCGGTGATGGGCAAATATCTGGCATTTTTCTTCACGCTATTGAAAACCTCTGCCAGATTAGAAGTGATGGTACCGTATCTGTACCCTCCATCATGGTGCAATGACCACATTTCCGGGGAAATGTTTCCCAGAAATTGTCGTGCCTCCAATCTCATTTCACCTATCTTCTTGAACCCACCGTCAAACTTCTTTTTCTGATGTTGCCGTGCGGTCCAGACAAAAAGATTTTTTAGATAAATGTCTTTGAAATGAGTGTGCACATTCGATGCAAGATGGTGGATACATAACCTATGATGCGCATAAGGCTCCAATCGTACATTAAACAGAAACAAAAGATTATGGAAATGGATTCAATCGTACACAGAAAGAGCCCAAAATGTAGTTAAGCTAAAAAGTCATCAGTCAATCCATCATTTACCCCGTGATCTTTTCTTCGTATATACAAAATGAAGCATTGAATAAATAAAGATGCTAAAAGTATTCTTTTTTATATTTAATAATAAAATCAATATGATGTTCGTGATAATTTTACAATATTACTCTTGTGATGAAACATGATTAATGCATCTATCCTAACTCATCGTTGTCTCGTGATTTCCCCCCCAAGCAAGTGGAAAGAGATGATCAATCAGCGCTGACAATTTTGGAATTTCATCTCAATGTTCCTTCTTAAAGAGGTTGGAAAGGATATCTGACAGTGTTTGTGTAAAATACTTAAATGGGGGAACCAGATACATTTTACAGACTTACAGACGAACAATTTGAATATTAAGTATTAACGAGAATGATAAATAGAATATAATCAATGCACAAAAAGGGATTATAATTTTTCCTATAGATAATATTACACAATGGTATAAATCACACAAAAAGAGAGTAATGGACCAAAAATGTAATCAAGCTCAGCAGCAATCATTTAATAGTATTATGGACTTACGCACCTCATAGAGCTTTTCCAAGCCACATTCAGAGAGATGAGGAATTAGTTCAGTGTCTAGCAAAATATTAGTCGATTTTATGTTCTTGTGTATGCAGGAAGGCGAACAAACCTCATGCAAGAACCTAGAATTAAATACAATGTCATTAAGAAGGATAAAAAGACTATATAATAAATATCCAGTTGAGTAACATGGAACACTGATTCACTGAATGGCCCAATGAGAAACTTGTCAATCAAGACTGAGTAACTGGCTAAGATACAGAGGGAAAAACGGAATAAAAGGCAATGTAAATTCTTATGTTTTCTAGGCTTCCTCTATTTACATTTACCTTGACAATCAAATTACTAACAAAAGAGCCTAGTGAATGGAATACATTTATCAGTTACCTCATGTATTTTGTAAACATAAGGCATTTGTTAATGCAGGAAGCAAATATTACGAAATTTATTTTTCCATCTGGGTCTGCCCAAAAGATCAGTCTAGCAAGGTCAACCTTATCTAGCTCTTTTTAATTTCCATCACTTATCTCCAAGAGTAATGGTGCATAAATGTAAGGGTAAATTGAGGTACCAGAAAATGCTAGTGAAAGGAAACAAAATGCCAAGCTATTTTCTTTTATTTGGTTTTACCATGAAAAATACAAACAATCATGAACGATGATTAACGTTTAAAATATTTTACATGTGTTTAGATGTCTAAGTCTTTATATGACAGAATTAAATAGATAAGTTTTTGAATAAAAAAGAAAATTTATTGAGTTTGAAGCAATATTTCGTTTCCCTGGTCCCCCCCCCCCCCCCCACATTTTCTTTCCTTCCACAGTTTCAAGTCCTTTTATTTTCCTCCCTATTTTCTTTTAATAGCATCTTATGAATTCAGAAAGGGACCCATACAACCACACTAACAACTATTAAGCACATTCAGAAATTTGCACCATTGTGCACCAGGGATAAAAGCATATGGACTTACTCAACAGCACGTGCTATGCCTAAAGCAATTCTAACTCTTGTGTTCCAGGTAAGTGGTTTGCTGAAGTCATCTGACAAGTGAAGGAATTCATGAAGAGAACCATTCCTGAAATAGTCATATACCAGCATGTTTTGTCCCTGTTCTGAACAGTAACCAATGACTTCAGCAATATTTGGGTGGCGAAGCTTGGAGATGTTTGCAACAATTTCTGGAAAATCTGCTCCCCTATCACCTCTAAAATGTGAAGAGTCTATCTTCTTGACTGCCAGAACCTGACAGAGCAAAAAGGTATCGTTGTTGCTGTACCTGATTCAATCTATCGACCATACACTATTACTCAATTTGTTCATGATCTTTCTTTTGCAGTCAGGCTATACAGTAGGGAAGAGGTGCAAATAAGCCCTCGAACTAACTGAAAAAGTGCAAATCACCCCCTTTTATAGGAGGCTCTGTCTGCCCGTCGCAATTTGGGGCGGTTACCGGTGGAATTTTTTGATTACTTTTTTAATCATCTTCTTCATTAAGTCTAGTTTACCCATGCCAAATTTCAGGTAAAAATTCAACCGGGAAGGCAATCAAATGGTTTTCTGAAATATACTGTGCTGTTTAACAATGCAGTTATCTTCAAACATTGATTTGTCTGTCTTCACGATTGAATTTTTAGCTGAAATTTGGTATGGGTAAACTAAACTTAATGAAGAAGATGCTCAAAAAATTTCATCAAAAAATTCCACCGGGAACCGCCTTAAATGGCGACGGGCGCACAGAGCCTCCTATAAAAGGGGTGATTTGCACTTTTTCGGTTAGTTCGAGGGCTTATTTGCCCCTTTTCCCCTATACAGTATAACAGTATTACTCAATTTGTTCACCATATTTGTTTGGTACTGAATTAGGTCCTCGAATATGCAATTCAGGCTCACTTTAGGTCCTATGTATGCGCTAGTTTAGAAGGATACTTCTGTGCTTACTACTTAGGACTAAATTAGGTCCATATTACTTAATTGAAGGCAAAACTGAGACAGAAGTTGGGTCTAAATTCAGTGAATGGAAAAAATATCCTTCTTAATTAGAACCGAATATGTATAATTAAGGACTAAATGGGAGAACTATCAAATCAGCCCTCGAACTTATATAAAAAGTGCAAATAAGCCCCTTTATAGGAAGCTCTGTCCGGCCGTCACCATTTGGGGCGGTTCCCTTTGTATTTTTTTGATGAAATTTTTTGAGCATCTTATTCATTAAGTCTAGTTTACTCATACCAAATTTCAGCTAAATTTTCAATCGGGAAGGCACTCAAATGAATTTTTGAAGATAACTGCGCAGTTAAACAGCGTAGTATATTTCAGAAAATCATTTGACTGCCTTCTCGGTTGAAGCTTTAGCTTAAATTTGGTATGGGTAAACTAGACTTAATAAAGAAGATGCTCAAAAAATTTCATCAAAAATTTCCACCGGAAACCGCCCCAAATGGCGACGGTCGGACAGAACCTCCTATAAAAAGGCTTACTTGCACTTTTTATGTAAGTTCGATGACTTATTTGATAGTTCTCCCTAATAGCCCAAAGTTCATAGTGAAGGAAAAATCTAGTCCAACAGAAAGCTGAGTACCAATGCAGCAGTTTCTAATGTTTTGAGGTGATGTCATCAATGCAGCAGCTACATTTCTTTCAGACTTTATTTTCCTAATTTTTTAGTGATAAAATTGATAATTGGGTAGGGGTCACTCAATTGGGTAATAACTCACTTGGGTCAAATGACAATAAAAATTGAATACAATCGATTATATAGTCTATCCTGAGGCATTATAAATTCATATGTTCTCCTCTTTAGTCTGGGACTCTTGGAAGAAAACATGTTACATGAATATACAAATATAATAGTTAACATGGCCTAGTTATCGAATTTGAAAAGCCCATTTCGAAAAAATGAAAAGAAATTGCTCCAAATAGAAGTAAAACATAAACAAAGTGCACAAATAGGGTAGCTATGTTTTATTCCTAAAATACTTATTTGGTTCTATACTTCTATGGAAAGCATAAAACTATTCCAATTAGGAGGGAATGAGTCATATTTTAGGAAAAACAATGGTGACCCTATTTGTGCACTTTGTCTATATTTTACTCCTATTAAGGAATTTTTCAAAAAGGAACTGGGTTGAGGAAGAGAAGAAGTAAGCAGGCATACCCTCCCATCTCGATACTTTGCCTTGTATACTCTTCCAATTGATCCCTCTCCAAGAAGACGGCCATTTGCGAAATTACCGGTCACACTCTGCAGATCTGCCAAAGAATAATAAGAGGCCTGAACTGAACCACCTATTTCCACGTTTAAATGGTCAGGCAACTCCTTGCTGTTGAAAGACTTGACATGATCTGAATACTTATGACTCATAGAAGCAGACGTTTGAGAAGTTTTTACTGATATTGTGGATGAAGAACCCGAGGACCTAATTTCTGTCACAAAATCCTTCACGTATTAGCAAAAACAGCAATGCTACAATGTGAAAGTGTGTCAAAGATTTAAGTCAATACCTCAATGAGGCTGACGCCATAAATTATACATTTTGTACTTTTATGAGAATATTCCTAGTGAAGAATTTTTTTATATTACTTCTATGTATTAAATCGTTTTGTATAAAAAAAATACTCTGTATCACTGGACAAGGATTACCTTTAAACAAAAAGTCAAATGCGACCTATCTTTGTGGGAGTGAAGTAGTAATAAAACTCACTACACTCATTTAGCCATATTATCAATAAAAATGTCTAGCAAAGTTTGTTCCTCTTCTGGACTTTTACATAAAATATACGAAGAATCATGGCATGCATCTGTTATTCATTCCTTAGTGGCTTAGTTGTTAAATGTCCTTACTTTCCTTCTTTTTCAAGATATTGATTATCTTAATTCTACTGCAGAAATAAAAAAAGGGAGGGGATATTTCAGAGAGAATAAGAAATTACCTCTGAATCCCTTGTGCATATCAGGGAACATGTTAATGGATAGCTCCTGAGATGCAAGTGGGGAAATGGGCCTCTGTTGGCTAAGCTTATCATCTTCAAAATAGTGTATTGAAGTTGATGATGATCGTTTAGAAATCAGAGCAATTATAATGCTAATTAGCAACAAAACACCCATTATTATGCCAGCAACTGCCATTCCACTCAACCCGGATTTCTTGTTCTCCTCTGATTTCTTGTGAGGTTCCTGCCCAGGAGGTGGAGGAGGAGCTGGACCAGAAGACCAAGAATTCCCTCCAGTCCTTAAAATGAAAATTCCAAATTCATCATGTGAGGGAAAGAATGTAAGTAAGAATAGTTCATTGGGGGCAAATCATTTACTCACTCTATATTATTGATGTTTTTCAACTCATCCGGAATCCATCCTGTGAAGTGGTTGTTTCCTACATTCCTGCCAGTGTATCACTTTCTATATTAGCTGCCTATTCACATTAAGAGCATCATATTGCTTAGATAACTTTTGCCAACCCACCCATAAACATGTACATAATTAAGGGCATATAGTTCCATACTCTTGACCTATAAATTTTTATTCTTCTGTATTTTTTGGGATGTAGCATTAAAATGGTAAAAAGTAAGCAAAACGTTCATAAAAATATCATTATCTTTGCCTAAATAAACGTTGGTGAGCTGATTTGGCTTAATCTAGCTCTGCTAATCACCAGAATAATCCGAATAAACAGCTTTTGACTTACTTATTTTGCCTAAATAGATCTTACCAAACGCTTTTCCTTTCATAAACTTTAGTAGATTCGGCCATTTCAACCAAATAACCCTTACGATATGGGCTCACAATATCCATATCTTATAACAGAACTATGATTATCAGTTAACTTACAGATCTTCAAGAGGGAGTTCAGCAAGAACATTTATTGATCCGGTAAATTTGTTATTTTGTAAAGACCTGGTTGATGACATGAAACATAAAAAAAAATCACTGACATGAATCTCTTGATCTCCAGCCAGAAACATGACAAACAATACTTGCATCTTACAATACGTTGAGACTTGAGAGGGACTTAAAGCTCTGCGGCAGAGCACCAGACAATGAATTGAAGGAGAGATCCCTGGATTCATTCTCACTATTTAGTTCAGTCTTAAATATTCGAGTGAATACCTCAATTAGTCCTTCAACTATACACTGTTACTCAATTTGGTCCTCAACTTAGGCCTATATTATGAAATTTGTACCAAATTTAGTCGTAATACATGTTTGGCTCTAAATAAGAAGGATATAGAGAAAAATATGCACGGAGATTAAAATTAGTCTCAATTGTAGTCAAGTACTAAATTTAAGACCACATTGAGTAATACTGTATAGTTGATGGACGGAATCAGGTATTAGCTCTAAATACTACGGAGTACGTTATTGTGATTTATGTACAAAAGAAGCTAGCTTCAGGTTTTCTACCTTTAAAGAAAGAGCAACAAAATTAAATAAATAAATAAAGTGATGGTAAAATTGCACCACAAATGTTGGCAGCTCTTACATCTCGGTGAGTTTGGTAAGTTGTGTAAACATGTCAGACAGTGATCCGCTCAGCTTATTATGATCGAGATGTCTGTAAAAGGTATCATTTATTCATGTCAGAAGCTTAAATCATTAATACCAAATCCTCAATAAATAAAACTAAAACCTAAGGGAAGGGGGGCTGAAAAAATGCACCTACAAGTATGTAAGGCTAGACATCTGAGAAATTGAATAAGGGACACTTCCTGTGAATTTATTGCTTGAGAGGTCTCTGCATACAAAGTTTATACACAAATTATTCACAATAGTATACTGCAGATATTTATAACCATACACAGGAAGTAATACAGATCATAATGTCTACATCATCATGACATAATTCATATGAACTAATGCCTTAACACAATGAAACCAACACAAGGATAAGGTACACCAAAAAGTGTTTAACATCATAGATTCTAGAACAGACTCTCATATTCCAAGAGTGTAGAGCCTTTATACCACACCAAATGACCATCACAAAACATAATAACATGAGAACAACATACATCCTTAGGCTATGTTTGGGGCCTGGAAAATGATAGGGAAAAGTAAGAAACTGCTAATAAAAAAACACTTTGGTATGTTTGGTTTTGCCTTTGAAAGTATGAACAAAAACTGATTATTTTCCACATGTTAAGATTTATTTTCCTTCATATAAAACCAAGAGTAAGGAGTAAGGACTGGGGTAAGAGAGCCAGAGAGGTAGGGAAAAGCTAAAATATCCCCACATCACCCCCTCAAGTTAGACCTGTCTGTGGTTTTCATCTAAACCGGAACCGCCCGTTTTGGAGCTGGGACTGCCGGTTTTGTAACCGCAAAGTAGCTCCGGTTAGAAACCATCAGCTTACTAAAATCAATTCCGATTCAACTTTCATTGCTAGAAATGTCTGATGTCATCATGTTATTATGATTTATGATGGTCATTTGGTGTACCTTATCCTTTTAGCTCCCATTTGAACCGGACTCCTACACCATCATTTCAAGAGTACTATGGTCAAATGTTATCATTTCCCTGAACCCTCTAACACTCTCCCTACATCAACTTTTGAGTGTTTTTCCTCTCCAAATTGCCTCTATATTTTCTTTCCCTAGTGTTTCCAGTTTCCAAGTGAACCTTAATGAACAGAAGAGAGAAAACACCAGTATCTAATGACGTTTGACATAAAATAATTATTTTGGAAATGGTGATTATGTAAGAAAGGCTGTAGCATCTAGAGAAATACTAAACTTATACCTTTTCTTCTCATACTGTGCATTGGGATCTATTCAGTAAGAAAATTCAAATGTTATTTGTGCAATAACTTACAAGTGTTGCAGCTTCGGAGGAAGCTGATATGGTACAGTGTCCTTCAGTTTGTTTTTGCTCACATCACTGTACTATGACATATAAATTCACATTGTCAGATCCAATGGCTTAAATACAAAACAAAAAATAGCAAAAAAATCTTATTTTCCCAATAGGTGTGGAGGCCTCACAAGTAGGTAACTTTGTCCAACTTATCAAGTTCATAGCCCAATGATCCAGAGAGATCCATCTCAGATAAATCACTGCAATCATTTTCAAAAATAAGCACTGTCAGATATGCCATGTTTGTTGGGGTTTTCACCTAACTCCATTAGTTTCAAACTTTTTATCCTAAACGGACACTGTCATTCTAATGAGAAGTTAAATGAGGTGTGTGACCCTAAGAATGTGCAAAGATCAACTTTGCCCCATTTTCTTCACCTTCCCCCTGTGAGTCCCTGTCTGTCCACTTCTAGATTTACTGTGTTGCTTGAGAAAATAAATATCCATGTAAAAAGAAACAAGAACGGGGGAGTTACATTTCTGTTATATCCGATCCTGAACATGATATACCCTTCCAAGAATCCCCACAAGGATCTCCGCCATTTTCCATCCATGCATCCAAGTTCTCTCTAGATGAAGAATCCAAGCTCTGGTATAGCACATTGAGGGCAGAAACTGCATAATAAGAACATCAAAGTATTTTGTATCAAAACATCTCGAACGTAACACTAATCAACAATATTTTTTCCTAACGATATGAAAACTGGCTTTTTAGAGTAATAGCCAAGTTAAGATGCCTTGGGAGATAGGGTGCCCCAAATGGCATTGTCAATGGACATTGAGGGTTACCATGTTTAGAATTCGTTTCAGATAGGACCAATGGAAGGTAGAAGGAGCTCACTGTTAGGGCAACCCCAAAAATCAAGTTCCTCCCCCATGTCTTCTTCATCATAATTTTCTGACGACCCGAAATTGATTTTTACAAAAAAAACCTAATAGATTGCGTAAATAATGAACGATTCATTTGGTGTAGGAGATAGGAACGAAATCAGCAACGTATGACGGAATTGGGGCTGATAGTGAGTTCGTGATTTGTTCAGTGAATGAAGAAATTATTTCGGGGGACACTTTTAGATAATTTATCAAAAACAAACAAAAGGAGTAAAAACAGAAAGAATGGGAAAATTGGGGGAAATGGAGAAAAACTACGAAAATTGCGATTTGGATGAAGAGAACGATGGAAACGCAGCCGTCACGACGGCGATGTGGAGAACGGTGGCCCCTGAAGTCCGGAGGCATCGGTGATAGAACAGGATTGGAGGCGGTGCACCATTTGAAAGAGCCCATTATTTCCTGCTTCGAATTTTCTTCCCATCCCGTCTTCCTCCGGCTTCTTCGCGCCACCACGAAGGCAGGTTCAAGTTAGTTAGTTAGTTCGTTTACTCGCGAATTGCGATTAAATTACATTCTAATTAGAATTTAGAAGTATGTTATTCCTGACGAATTGCGATTTTTATGGAATTCATGAAAATAAAGATCTTTAAATTTTTCATATATTTCTATCGTTACTTATTTGGATGGATTTTATTGAATTTTGATTGATTTTTATATACAAAAACATTTCACCACAAATTTTATAGAATTTATAGAATTTTAAAAGATCAAAATTCGTGATCTTTTAAAATTCATCAAAGTTCTAGTTAGGAAAACCCCTATATGTTACACATTTGAATTATTCAATATATAATATAAGTCGCCAAACGCATTGTGATTTGTAAAGAGAAATATACAGCGTCAAAACTATCACAATTTAAGAATATTGGCATTAATTTAACATAGAGCACAGTAAAACAATAGAAAATAGGTCTTTTCATATAATCTAATCAAAATACTTTTACGGAGTATTTATTTTGAATCTTTTTTTAAATCTTTTTTATTCGAACTTTCTTTGCCTAGTTTAATCTGACCCTTTCGTACTCCGCATGTAATAAATCCTTCTTATTCAGATAATCAAATGCAAATGTATGCCTTTAGTATTATTATAATTATATTATAAAAACATATACGTTAAAATACCAATATATATACTCTAATTCTTTCTCTATTATAATACGGAGTATTAGTTATATGTATTTAAATTTTGTACGTATATGGCATCGTGGTATTCTTAAATCACAAATGATAATTTCATGAATTAAAAATTTGATGCAAAAGAATAGTCACTTCATACAATAATTTCGTGGTTAAATTATACCATACACCCGACTATACACGTGTTTGGTAGAGTCGAGTAATTTTGTAATTAATTCCAAAATTCAAGGCTGATTATAGTCTCCGGCAGTCTGCAACACACCAATTAATAGTCTCCGATTAAATTTGGGTGGTGCCCGATTTCAATATGTGTAGTGGTTGCTAAGGTGTGGCGATTTTGTACGATGAAAAGTCAGATATGAAGGTGGATGTCAAAGTAGGGGTGGATTCGGTTCGGGCCACCCGGCCCGGTACTGTGCGGGCCTGGGACCGGCCCGGTCGGGCGGTCCAGGACCGGGTGTAGACCCGAACCAGTGGGAATGGGCGGGGCGGGCACGGTTCCGGAAAAATGCGACCCGGCCCGGGTCCGGGTCCAACGGTCATATTTAAAAAAAAAATTAAATGGCTACTAGCCGTTATGGGTGGGTTGGGGACAACCCAAACGGCTACATAGCCGTTGGGTGGGTCTTGGGGGGTCCGGGGGGGGTGGGGGGTGGGGGGTGGTGGTGGGGGGTAAAAAAACCTATAAATACTCCTAATCTTAAACATTTTTTCATATCTCTTCTCCAATTCTTCCTAAATCCTATTTTTAACTCTCTACTCTCTAATTCTCTTATTCTCCAATATATTATATTTATTATTTATATACTATCGTATCTACTTTATAGTTTATACTTAAGAAGTTAAGATGGAAAATTAAGATGCCATTATACGGTATAATTTTGATAAGCAGAAGGACCCGAAGACCGGGATGTGGTACACAATTTGCAAATGGTGCGAGAAAAAATGTAGCATGGGGGTTTCAGGCGGATACGGGATGGCAATCAAGCATATGAAGTCATGTGACAAAGCCAAAGGATCGAGAGGTGCGGGAAGTTCCGATTGATTACAATTTTCAAAATGTTTCTCTTAAAGTTTGTTTTAATTTTCAAATGTAGTTCCTATTTCATTTCAAATAAATGCACTTGAAGTTTGTTTTTAATACTCGTATAAAACTATAAACTATAAAATATAAATTATTAAAAAAACTTTAACCGGCCCGGCCCGAACCAGACCCGACCCGTGACCCGGGCAGGTGGCCCGGCCCGAACCGGACCCGTCCAACCCTCGGGCCAGTCCCGGGCCCATGTCATACAAACCGGTGGCCCGACCGGGCCTAGGCCCGACCGGGCCTAGGCCCGGCCCGGGCCCGACCCGGCCCGAGTCCATCAATATGTCAAAGCAACTGCTAGTGTGTGCTGTGAGACGGAAGCTTTTGATGATGCATCATGATCTTTTCCATTTTAAAAAGTAAATGAGCATAAACAAATTAAAATCTGAATTCATCAAAAAATTCAAATGAGGTTTAGAATTTTCATATATTAAAATGTTTTGATATTTTATATATATATTTCATATATTAGTGTTTACGATTTTTTGTATAAATACATAGATAGTATTTCAAAAGTATAATATTACATTAGATTCGCATATTGGAATTCGTAAAAATTGTTTGCAAATATAATTTAAAAAGTTTTATAAAAGCAAAAATAAGAAAAAAAAATGAATTAGAAGATATCAAGGAAAGATCACGACGCTCAATATTTGACTGCTAATACTCAACATAATAGGTTTGATACTCACTAAAAGTGCATTAATACTCATTTTACAGAAATCGTGATTCTCACTTAAATTACAAAAATGTCACTGATTGTACAATGCTCACCATACAATCGGTTGTACAATATACGGACTTAATTTCATGAGCATTATAACTTATAAGATAGGTCATCAACTAAATGAAAAAACCATCGTGTCATTTATGTTCCAATAATAATTAACTACACTTCCTTTTAAAAAAAAAGAAGTATTGCTTATAACTACATATTTTTTTATTATTATTCTTCGTGTATGATAAAATTTCAAAAGAGTGTTTCTCATGCAAGATACACGTATGAACGTTTACCTACCCATATGCACAATGCATACGAAGTATTATTCTGTGAGTTTGTGACAGAAATGCATGGGTGCACTTTTATTCATCCACGGTGCGCCTTTATGTTCAAATGTTCAATGCATATATTATGGTGATGGAAAATTTAGTTTATTAACAAAAATGTCATCACATTTTCTAGCCCTTGATCTTAAATCTGTTGACCTTTTTTGTTTGCACTATATATCGGAAGATGACATTTTAGTTGAACCAAAAAATTACAATATCACAAAACTTAAAATTAGGAGCAAGCAAAAGCTCAAAGATCCAGATATATACAAATCGACACTACCATCTATTGTTAATTTAGTAAGTTGTCAAATCTTCCATCAATCCTCTAGTCTTGACTATGAATACCTCCTCCTCTCCCCTGGCTATTGCTTCGAGAAGCACTCCGCTTTGTGAGCTTCCCCAAGATGCATACCATGGCGACTTTCACACCCAAGTTGGAATGTCCACGAGACAGACAGATTGCACCTCCTATTATAAGAAATGCATTTTTCAATAGTTTGATCGATTGCTTACTTGGCAACTTCTTAGCAAAGGTTTCATGTGGTGGCAATCCAGGATGGAGGTGGTCCCTACTTGTGGAGGTTCCTGGTGGCATTGTGTTGGCTGTGCTGCTAATAGCATCCAATTCAGTTGGGACCTTCAAAAACAAGACCAAACAAATAAAGGTACTAATAGTAATATATCCCAGCTGATGGTCAATTTGGGTGGAAGGTTTTGAGTGGTTTAGAAGTGAGTTTTGGAGGGCTACGGGTTTGTTTGGCTATTAGCATGTTGGCCAAACACTAATCATATTATTAACGACTGGAATTGATGCTACAATCAGCACATTGGCTGTCAAAACAGGAAAAAAACGAGCTAGGCCTATATCTGGGTATGTATCTGAGATTTTATCATAACATTCTAATAACATTTATTTAATTTGACAAACATTCAGTTCATCAAGATATAGACTAGGCTAAAGGGTCAAATAGGTACATGAACTAACCTAAAGTGTTCAATTAGCTCCTTATTTAGGAGGTTCTGTCCGGCCGTCGCCAATTGGGGCGGTTCCCGATGGAATTTTTTGATAAAATTTTTTGATAATCTTCTTCATTAAGTCTGGTTTACCCATATCAAATTTTAGCTAAAAATGAAATCGGGAAGGCAGTCAAATGATTTTCCGAAATGTACTGCGTTGTTTAACTGCGCAGTTATCTTTAAAAAATCATTTGACTGCCTTCCCGGTTTAATTTTTAGCTGTAATTTGGTATGGGTAAACTAGACTTAATGAAGAAGATGCTCAAAAAATTTCATCAAAAAATTCCACCGGGAACCGCCCCAATTGGCGACGGCCGAGCAGAATCTCCTATATAAGGGGCTAATCGAACACTTTAAGTTAGTTCATGTACCTATTTGACCCTTTAGCCTATAGACTAAACCAAAGACTCCCCCTCCAAAGTACTCCATCCAGATTTAATTGAAACTTTTTAAGATTTTACGATTACATGGTAGATTTTTAGTCCTTATACTACGTATAATATTGAGTTTACTCTAGTTTATATTTATCCCAAAATTTTATTCTCCCGCAATCAAGAAGATATACCGTGGTGCATGATGTTTGCCGACTATATTGTATTGATTTATGAGATGCAATCCGGTGTTACAGCAAAGGTTGAAGTATGGTGACAAACATTGGAGACCAAGGGTTTCAGACTAAGTTGAAGCAAGACTGAGTATATGGAGTGCAAGTTTGGTGAAGGTAGAACTAGTAGCAACAGTGTGATTACTCTTGATGGTAAGGAGATACCGGTATGTGATATGTTCCATTACTTGGGCTCCATAATTCAGAAGGATGGTGAATTAGATGAAGATGTATACCATAGAATCAGAGCTGAGTGGATAAAATGGAAGAGTGCATCAGGATTTCTATGCGATAGAGGTATGCTGACTAGACTGAAAGGTAAATTTTATCAAACAACAATTAGGTCTGCATTAATGTATGGCGTAGAGTGTTGGACGGTGAAGCAATGCCACATTCAAAAGATGAGTGTGGCAGAGATGCGCATGTTGCATTGGATGTGTAGACATACCAGAAAAATCGCTTGAGGAATAAGATAATCAGACAAAGGTGGAAGTAACACCTATAGAAGATGATGCAGGAGTCTCGTTTGAGGTGGTTTGAGCATGTGCGTAGAGGACCGAGTGATGCACCTGTTAGACTACTTGAGGGGTGGGGAGAAGAGACAGAGAAGAGAGAGGGAAAGACTCAAACAGACTTGGATTAGAGGAATCAGAACTGATATGCATCTTCTTGGGTTAGATGAGAGTATGGCTTTGGAGACAGCAAAGTGGAAGATGCACATCCGTGTGGACGATTGATATCTTTTCTAACTTTCGTCTCTCATTTCTTTTATCGTTTATCTTCATTATATTTTTATATTCTTATGTTATTTTTATCTTCTCACTTTTTTATGCTCTTTTATCTTTTTATCTTTTATCTTTCTTATATTCTTATGTTATTGTTATCTTATATTTATTTATCTTTATTTTATCCGTTTTATTTTACTTTTTTCCTTTCTTGTCTGTCTTTTCTGTTTGGCATCGATATCATAGATCGATTCATGTTAGTCGACCCCAAATTCTTTTGGGATTAAGGCTAAGATGTTGTTGTTGTTCTAGGAAGCACGGAAACGGCATTCCTCTTCCAGTTTCCGTCCCGGAAACGTTTCGGAAACGGGAAACGGTAGGAAACGTGCGGAAACGGCCGGAAGCGCTGGGAAACGTTTATGAGGTATTGGGCTTTTGGGCCGGGTTGGGGAAACGTTTCAGAAACGTTTTTTAATTGGACCTACCCGTTTCTTAATTTTTAAAAAAAATACCTTGATCGACTTTTGCACTCCCAGTCACCGTCTCAGCAAACTTGCTGAAACAATACCTCTTTGCGATTCCCCTCCAGGCAACAACGTTCGAGTGTTGAGTGTTCTACGACTTGACAGGAAGAAGAAGTCCAGAAACTCAGAAGTACGCAGAATCTCGACGCAGAGAGTATCGAACATCTGCTGGTCTTCTACAGTGCTACTCAGTTGGACGGATAGGTATTTGGGTGAGGCGGTGAGCGCATCTGCTACTCTGCTAAGTGCTGGACGGCTGTGAATTTTGGGCAGCTTTGTTTTTAATCTTTTCCCGAAGTTGAGTGCTTCCTATATTTATTGTTCTAAGTATGAAGCATATAGGAGAGAGTGGGAATGGGTCAGGGAGTTCATGGTGTTAATAATACACCTTTGTGGAATTATAACAAAGACACATGTTTGATTTATTTATTTCGTATTTATTGGACGTAAATGTGACCTATATTACTAAAATTTAAATTTTTACTTCGACGTTTCCTTGCCGTACCCGTATTTTGATATTTTGAGATTGGAGTTTCCCTGTCCCCGTTTCCGTCCTCGTTTCCGTTTCCGTTTCCGTCTCGGTGCTACTTAGTTGTTGTTTATACTCCCGCAAATCACTCCCTCCATTTTCCTCCTCTAGCATTTTCCAGTTCCAAACGGACCATTAGAAAACTAACAATGACTGTACCTTCATAGAAATTTATTTGGCATCGAAGGGAGTATATTGAAACTACATGCTGTCAGTTATTCTATTTGTGATTAGCATTTCATAGCACAATCACAGGACTGCACAAAATGTAAATAATTATTTTAAACAAGCATTACCTTCTGAATTAATGTGACTGCGCTCACACCTGCTGTTAGGGGAGAACGGCGAGCAGTTGAGTAATTGCGAAGTGCATTATGCATCTTGCAAATATAACCCCATATTCCCTTGGAAAAAGCTAGCTTTGCTATTTCAACATTCATACCGGAATCTTCTTGGTGAACCATTTTGATCTCGCAAGCATTCCTACCAGAAACTGCAGATAAGAAGCTAATGTTATACAATACTCGCCCAACCATCAAATCACGACTACTATGCTGTCAACATAACACCTAAAGGGGGTGTTAGGCTGTTAGCTTGCAATGGAGAGTTACAGTTTCGCTGGAAATTAAGAGGAAATGTAACTCCCTTCTTGGCAAAACAAAACAAAACAAAACAAAACAAATTCACTTTCCACTTTTCTATGGAAAGTTAGTTGAATGGAACTCCAAAATGCTAGTGAAAGAAAATAGGCCGGAAACTATAGCAAAAATAAGGAGGTCAAATGAGAGGAGAAATTTGGGAAGAAATAAAATGGAGAAAATGAACAACCCGTGCAACCCGTGCAACCCGTGAATACTTCTCCTCAGAAAGTACTTTTCATAAAATAAAGATAAAAAGTATAAAAGGAGAGATTGATGAGAGTAGGAGGGAAAGAGGATGGATAAATATCCTACAAAAAACAGAATCTGCTATCGAAAAGATATGAGTAGGATTCTATGAATGTTAAGACTTGTACCTTGGCAAAATAAAAAATGTTGTACCTAGACCAAACACGCATCTTTTTTTGGGGAGATATAATATTTCAATGAAACTTTATTCACATGGTCTTTGAAACAATGAAAAAGACTTCTACAGCTTATGCAATGAATCAAAACCTGCCTGCCTTGATTCTCCATCCAGATCTGAATAGTGCAACCCGTGCATACTTCTTCTGTCTATGAATTAAAGGATGTTCACACTCCTAATTATTGGCATATGAAGAGGTCATTATTTGTGGCAAGAAAACAGAACACTATAACTTGCACAACAGCATATGAGGAATGATAATTTAGATATAATATTTTGGAAAAACAGAAAAGAAATCACGCAACATACTCATCCACTTTTTTCTCCATCAAGTAGAGAAGGTTAAAATGAGTGTTTAACACTAAATATTTTGCCCAACAGGAATGGGACTTTCAGTTTGGGACACCCCAAAATATTAAAAATATGGCTATCAGTTTGGGATGGAGGGAGTGCATTTCTATTATCTCAACCAAACATAAAGCATTCTTACATTTACTTAATCTCACATTGGGTGGTAATCCTATTAACTAGGCAATCATACTTTCAACTAATCCACATTACCTTCCGTGAACAAAGCACTCCTAAGAATTTAAAAAGAAAACATGGCATAGGTGATATGGAGCAATGATACATATACTAAAGAAAGGAGACCTTGCTATAACAATAGAATGATCCATCATTGCCTTCCCAAACTTTCCAAGCCAATACGTACTCTCTAGGAGTCATGAGGGGGAACTTCTTTACCATCCACCCAATTTCAGTTCCACTGCCCTTGTCTACTTGTAACTGTCCATACATTGCTAGGGTCTTGTCCCAAGTTTTCCGGAAATCATTATCCATGTAGAAATCTCTCAACATTTCAATGGAGCAATTTTCAAATACTGTTATACTTATGTATTTATGAGGCCCAACCTGCCAAAAGAAAGAGACTGTTGAACTCAGATTCCAGTTCACAAAAGCATATATATGCCAGAACCATTATGAGCAGTGATAAAAGCAGCAGGTTGTTAGCCTGTTTAGGGTAGCTTGTGGTATAAGACTATAAGTGCTTTTAGTAAGCTGCAGCTATTAAAGATCGTCAATTCTAGACTTTTAGCTATTTCTTTACTAGACTATTAAAATGTATTAATTGGTTTAACTAAACTTAACTATTTACTTTGCTCGTTATGAACATTTGTTTTTTGAGAAAAAAAACATTAAATTCAGAGTAAGTATAGGGGTACATTAAAAGAGTATGTTATTGAGAGACATTCATGTGTGACACACATTTAATGAATGATTATCACATCTCTAACTTTTCATCATCCAATGAATATGTGTGCCATGTCTACTTCTAAATTATCAATTTAATGTCTCCTAGGCATACTCTTAAATATAACGAAATTAAGCTTCTTTTACTCAAATAGGACTCGTTTTGGCTCTTTTGAGGGGAAGAATGGAGTATTTGAAGATACTTCATACATCCTGGCATGTATTTCATCCTACAGCATATATTAGAACTGTGAAATACTGCATAAACTACAATGATGAACATTTGATGAAAAATTCCCTTTCAGGAGCAAAACATTGGTGTGTCTAACAAACTTCACATGGTTCACGCTTCACCCCACATCATATATAAGTCAATTAGCTGCACTCATAGAAACTAAGAACCACAACAAACAGCAAAAGGTATCCAAAAATTCCCTAGTACTAAATCTCAAACATTTGAACTCATTAAAGGAAGAGCAACAAAACACCTTTTGCTTACAACACTTCGCGGTGTAGGAAAAAATATCTTCTCGTCGGTCAATGACTTGTTCCCACTTCTCACTATAATGGAGCTTTTCATCCAAGTCTTCAATCAAATTCTTCAGGTCTAAATCAGAAATAATTGTAGAAATCCTGCAGGAGTTTCAAATGAGGAAATTTACACAAGCATGCTCAGCAAACCAAATGAACTGTAGTCAGCCTTGCTTAACATTCAAGTGTCTTAGTGCATCCAAATTCGTGCAAAAATTAAATAGATGCGAAAGAATACTACGAATTGCCAGAAACAGTACCAGAGGTTCATATATTTACAAAAGTATACAAATTGAACCACATTTTTCTAAAATGAAGTGATACTGGAAAAAGAAATACCTAGATTGGGGGAGAAGTGATTGAGAAATATGGGCAGAAGGATTAGAGCCAGAATACAAAGGAGCAGATCCTCTTTGACCATTTGAATCGTATACAGAGGCAGAATAATACAACGACAAGAGACGTGGGAAACAGCGGAGTTTGTTGAGCAAGTGGCAAGTGAGTATGATGAGCGTGACCCCAATGGTATAGGTATAGTTTGTCCATCCCCCCCTTGCCACTCCTACATCAACCTTTTTACCCCACAACTTTCCTGAAGATCGAACTAGAGATCCTAATCCCAACTCCGACGGCAATGTTCCGCCAAAAAAATTCATTCTTGGGACGATGATTGCTAAGCAATTAGCAGCGCGATCCTTACTCCTTTACTCCCCAAAAACCGAAGCTCCTTCCCGTTTTCTTTGTCAACTGGAAAACTAGATGCGCGATAGCGTGCGTGAACACTGAGGATTTGCGATGATAATTTGGTTTGAAATTTCATTACGGCATTGATATTGATTGATTGTACGTTTGTAACGGTTTGGTTGCCAGCTCGGTGTAGATAGCGGGTCAGAGGCCAGAGGGATTTCAGACTATGAAGGAAAATCGTCGTGCAGGGTCAGAAAATTCCAACCACGCGCGCCTCAATGGTGTCGTGTTAAGCTTATACTAGTATATAAAGAAGGCAAAAGGGCCAAAATGGACACCAAGATTTTTAATGAAGAGCGTATTGGACATTAAGATTTTTTTGAGATCAAATAAACATCAAATTAAACTTTTCAGACCTCATCGCCCACCCCCTAACATTTCCCGTTAACAGCTTCTCTTCCCCGTTATCACCCTGCGATTAGAATCTCCCAAATATACAACAACCCTAATTGATATATACCTAATAAATACAATCTCAGACATATTACGAAGAAGAAAGCAGTGATGTCGGCTACTCCTTCAGCATCGAGGTCGTCTGAGGCACGGAAATCTTAGTCCGGTGATTCAGTGAAGCTTCGAAGCATCTATGAGCGACCGTATTCTGGGCGTTCTAGGTTTTGCAGATGCATGAATGCAAATGAAACTCGCGTCAAGGCGCCACTTTGGACTTCATGGACCGACAAGAATCCAGGGAGAAGATTTTATGGATGTCCTAATTATGAGGTATGCTTTTAATTGTTCTTTTCACATATGAGAACTGGAGAAGATCATGAATATGTATAATTTATTTATATTCATATTTGATGTTTATTTGATCTCAAAAAAACCTTAATGTTAGGGGGTGAGCGATGAGGTCTGAAAAGTTTAATTTGATGTTTATTTGATCTCAAAAAACCTTAATGTCCAATACGCACTTCGTTAAAAACCTCAGTGTCCATTTTGGCCCTTTTCCCTATAAAGAAAACACAAATGTACCCCAAAATGTACTCCATTTTTACCCTCACCCCCTAATGTGTGGCCATAAATGTGCCAATTCATTTAAGTGGGGCAACACTTAAATGAATTGGTCCATTTATGACCACAAATTAGGGGTTGAGGTAAAAATGAGGTACATTTTGGGGTACTCCTAGCAAAACTCTAAAGAAAATTCCTTTATGCAAGCATATATAAGTGTGATTGGATGCTTGGTCCAAAAGGTTGAATCCCCACCCCGGCCCCCCACCCTGACCCGACCGGATGGTAGGGGAGTTAATCACGGTTACTCAGTCAGCAAAGCGGTGGTAGGCCTTATACATGTGCGCATCAGAGGTCCAGCCTTATTTCAGGTTTTGTAACCTCCACACGGCCGTTGCGGGTTTCGAACCTTGGTCACTTGGTCCAATTTTCCCACCACTCGACCAACTGAGCTACCCGTGTGGATAAGTGGGATTGGATGCTCTCCTTATGGCAGAGTGCCTTACTCAATTCAAGGGCCAAGATTAAAATTTAGGGCCTTAAGATTGGTGCAAAAATGGACCCACTCATTCTATGCCATTGATTTGTTGATCTAAAGCTCACAAAGGCCAAGCACCCTCCTTGCCTTTGTGATATATATATCTCATATATCAACAATTGACAGTCTTAGAGACCGTTTGACAACACTGTTTTTCGGCTTATCTGGCTTATCAATCAACTTTTTTACCAAACACATAACTTTTGCTTTCGCGCGCTAAATTGTGTAATAAGCAGAAAAAGTAAGGTTGAAGTTACTTTTCTGGCTGTATTGGCTGAAGTTACTGTAGATGACCATTTTAGCTATTTTTACATATATTTTTTTGTTTATTTTATTAATAAAATATATTTTAAAATTATTTTTTTCTTACATCAGCAGAATCAGCCAATGCAGCCATTTCAGCCAGAACTTCATAAATTTCAGCAGAATCAGCCAAATCAGCCCATTTTTATGCTACCAAAGGGGCTCTTAAAGTTGTTAGAAAAAGAATTCGTAACACTATAGTCATATAGATCATGGTTACTTATAAGGGAGGAAAAAAATGTTGGTTACATTTATGATGTTTTAATGATATATAGGTGTGTTATGTTTAACTTATCCTGATATTTTTGGCTTCTAAGCGAATCAGAATCACAGTTAGGTTACAGGGAAATATGAAAAAGCATCTTAAACACCTAGGAAGTAAAAGAATAAACTCCCAAGAGGTAAAATAATACATGATGCAGCCATATAATTTATAAAGGGTTGAAGAAATGCTTTAATGCTACATAAGCAAAAATCACAGTCTCTTTTTTATGAGAATGAAGAAATTGGCTGATGAGAACTACGGAGTATTTGATTATCTATTTGTCATTTGATTATCCCTAGAAGGCTATCTATTTGATATATTATTATTTCTTCTTCACATTTGGGGTGAATTGAATATCAATGATTTCTGTATTGATCAATTTAGCTCAACTAAAATAAATGCCTCATCACAACTTTTACTATGATTAGCAACTAATAAGCCTATTAATCGTTTTGAAATGGATATGAAGAATTGGTTGAAAGTAAATGAAAAACTGGCATACTACTAAAATGTGAGTTTGAACCCTAACTATTAAGTTTGCATACACAACTGGATCATACTAGTATACTACATGCACACAATACCACCAACGAAAAACTACAGCAAGTGCATATAGCTTTATATATGGAAAACAACTTTCTGTTTGACACCGATAATGCCCTCCCCTTATCATGAATACTGATTCTGGTTTTTTGATATCTTTTTAGGTGTTTTTCTCCAGGACTGAGAGTGCTGGCGTCAAGTAGTTGTTTGCTTTATCCGGTAAATGTGCAACCTGAAAGAGAAATTTTCAGAACAAAGAAGGATGTGTATGAAAAGATACAAGTAAATAACATTCTTGACCATAACCAAATGAAGGGGAAAAGGTGGGAATGCTGCTTCTGTAAATGCATGTATTTACCAGCTCATAAAGCTCCTTCCCAGATTCCGGCACATACTCATAACATACCTAGTGGTACAGTCAGCAAAAATACAACTCTGTAAATGAATCCTGTTTGAGAAGGGGTAATTTGATTTTGCATCCCATTTTATTGTTCAAATTGAACTTTGCACCCCGTTTTTAAAACTTTGTTTTTGCACCCCAACCCATATGAAAAGACAAAAAAGCCCTCGATCAGGAATATGTTGAGGGCTAACAAAATTGTTAATGGGTTGGGGTGCAAAAAACAAAATTTTTTAAAAACGGGGTGCAAAGTCCAATTTGGACAATAAAATGAGGGGCAAACTCAAATTACCCCTTTTGAGAAAGTATGATTAGAAAAGAAAGATGATACTTTTCTTTCAGGTCTATGGTTTGTTGCGATTTTGACCGATTCTTTAATGAAGAATTATGTAGTACTACACAATGCCTAACAAAACACATACTTCGTATATTACATAAAACCCACCTTCAATTCTTTTAATAAATAAGGATAATAGTAACAAGTAGCAATATCAATACTGATAGCCACAATCACATCCACTGCTAACGGCATCACTGCCTACTACCCCGTCGCTGTCTTGTGCTAATGCTATTGTCCTATGCCGCCACCTCCTACTGGCCCGCGCCGACGCCAGTGGACAGCACCATAGTAGCCATTTTTATTGTAACATTTTGGATATATTTGAAAAAACAACATTTTGTAAATAATTTATTTGTAGGTTCCATTTCTTTTGTATAATTGTAAATCTAGCCATGGTTTGCAATTGTGTACAGTTTTGGTAAAATAATTAATGATTGGTTGCTTATGGCCAACTCTCTTAAAATTGCTAATTTAGAAAGACTTTTTATACATTGTGTTCAATTATAATCAATCCATGAACTAGCAAATTTAGCTTTGGAAACGGAATGACACCGCATTTTAAAGTTTGCTCTGTACCAGCAACACAGCACAATTATGGTCAAAACTAAAACTAATTTGTAAAATTGTTGGCTGAATTAGCAATTTTAAAAGAGTTGGCCAAAAACTCAATAGATGGCCAAACTGAGAGGTTTTGTAGAATCGTGATTCGTGACTAAAATTACTATTTCATTTTTATTATCAAAATAGCATCAAATCTCAAGGACCTTTTTTCTAAAGAAAAAGAACAATAGCCCTTTCTTTTACAACTCACATCAAAACTTTTGTTCCGGGCTGTTGAATCATGCAATGCCTTCACACAGATATCAGCCACATCTGCACAGCTGATTCCCTACAATCCCTTGTTGCAAAGGTAAGATAAGAGCAGTCATATGATTCCAGCAGTTTCTTAAGAAGAACATATAAACCCAACCTGAGATATTCTATTTCCTTGGTCAAATACAAGAGCACGCTGGCCACCAGGTTCTTCCTGCAATAAGTTGAATGTTGAAGCATATTAATCTTGAATTTCGAATACCTGTTTTTTACGCTTGTCAAGATTAATTTACTTGTTTGACCTTAATATTCTCTCATAGTAAAAGGTTTGTATTTTCATACTTTTGCGATGCAAAATAACTTCAAAGAATCATAAACAGTCTACTACTTTATTTATTAATGAGTAAAATGCATAAATGGTCCTTGAACTATCATCACCATATCGTTTTGGTCCTCGAACTATTAAATCTATCATTTTAGTCCTTAATCTATTTCATCTATATTAATCGAGTCCTTCCGTTATATTTACCGTTAACTTTGACGGAAGCTAATTAATTTATTAACATCTCATAATTTTAAACATTTTGAAACAATACAATCATTCTTAAAATTTAAGTAGATAATCTAGTTTTTTTTATTTTTAAAATATACAAATATGTACACATACACATATAAAAAAATATAAATAAATAATATAAAATCAAATGTACGGCCTAAATAATACGAAGTACGTAGTATATAAAAGAGAATCAAACAATCAATTACATGCATATGAGCAGATAAAATTATATAAGAAAACGAGAGTGATTGTTATTATTATTAATTATATTAGAAAAAAAAATAGGTATCACTAAAACTCATCCACTTTCTCAATACATGACCTCATTAGTTCCCCCCCCCCCCAAAAAAAAACAATACTCCGTATTTAAATTCGTAATATTTAATAAAATAAATAAATAAATATATATATTTTATGGACTAATTTGCCCTTACATTTTTTTACCAGAATATACTTTTAGATTGATATTATAGAACACTAACTTCCTACTCATTTCTGGTAAAAAATTGTAAGGGCAAATTAGTCCATAAAATTTATTTATTTATTTAGTTTATTAAATATTACGAATTTAAATACTGAGTATTGTTTTTTTGGGGGGTGAACTAATGAGGTCATGTATTGAGAAAGTGAATGAGTTTTAGTCATACCTAGTTTTATTTTTTTTCTTAATATAATTAATGATAATGACAATCACCCTCGTTTTCTTATTTAATTTTATCTGCTCATATGTATATAATTGATTATTTGCTTCTCTCTAATATACTACGTATTATTTAGGCCGTACATTTGATTTTATATTAATTTATAATTTTTATGTGTGTATGTGTACACATATGTATATTTAAAAAAAACTAGATTAGCTACTTAAATTTTAAGAATGATTGTATTGTTCCAAAGTGTTTAAAATTATGAGATGTTAATAAATTAATTAGCTTCCGTCAAAGTTAACGGCAAATTTAACGGAAGGACTCGATTAATATAGATGAAATAGATTAAGGACTAAAATGATAGATTTAATAGTTCGAGGACCAAAAAGATATGGTGATGATAGTTCAAGGACCATTTATGCATTTTACTCTTTATTAATAGTGCCAGATTGAATATTGTGAGATAAAGGTCAAGGTGTATTAACACATTTACCATTAAGGGACCAGGGCGTATTATTGTATATCCAAGGCCTGACCTTCTCAGCGAGTCTTCTCCAGCCTACAGAGATTCAAACTAAGGATCAGCCAGAAAACATAAGCAAAGGCTTAAAGAACTATGGCGTTCAAATAAGATACCCTCTTGGCTTTCAAAACTTGCTCCCTTCGAGAAGATTCTATTCCCAATCCTGTACATGAAACTAAGATGAAGTCTGTTTCTTGTCCTGTCTGCAAATATAAGAATAAGCAAATCCTGATGATACAGAGTAGTACATTTGCAAGGATGCTTTTAGGCAAAGTTTGAAATTGTTAAGTTGAATAAAGTACAAAACACCTCCCACCAAACAACAACAACAACATCTAAGCCTTAATCCCAAAAGAATTTGGGGTCGGCTAACATGAATCGATCTATGATATGGATGCCAAAAAGAGAAGACAGGCAAGAAGGGCAAATAAAAGTAAGACAAAGCACCTCCCACCGTTCCACCATAATTGTGCACTTACAGGCAAAGCTTTAATGTATTCCAAAACTAGTTTAAAGCTTCTCAAGTCTTCCTTCACCCCATTAGATCCTTCAGATGGTCTCTGCAGTGAGTAAAAATCGAAAGACAAGTCAACAAACTGATCCAAAATGAGCCGTTATAAATAGCTTAACTAAGCATGTCGAAAGCACGCTATATACACAAAGTTCTTCCATGTATATTTTTTTAGGCAGGTGGGATTAAAGAAAAGTGCAATGTGCAGAGTCTTTCAAAGCACAATCTATGTAGAAAATACAGTTTAGGGAGGTATCCGAAATAAGAAATACTTCCTTCGTTACAAAACGATTTGCAATTTGAGGTTTTTAAGGTTAACTGAGGATAAAGTTAAATCTTCCGTGCAAATATTAAATCAGTTTTAATAATTAAAATTTACGTATTTAGAAATTTCACTAAAATAAAATCCAAATTAGAATATGTAAAGGAAATTATATCCTCAATAAAAAAAGGGAGAACTATCCAATAAGCCCTCAAACTTTCATAAAAAGTGCAAATAAGCCCTTTTATAGGAGGCTCTGTCCTGCGTCGCCATTTGGGTCGGTTTCCGGTGGAATTATTTGATGAATTTTTTTGAGCATCTTCTTCATTAAGTCTAGTTTACTCATACCAAATTTCAGCTAAACATTCAATCGGGAAGGCAGTCAAATGAATTTTTGAAGATAACTGCACAGTTAGGCAGCGCAGTATATTTCAGAAAATCATTTGACTGCCTTCTTGATTGAATTTTTAGTTGAAATTTGGTATGAATAAAGTAGACTTAATGAAGAAGATGCTAAAAAACATTCATCAAAAAATTACACCGGAAACCACCCCAAATGTCGACAGCCGGACAAAGCCTCCAGTAAAAGGGCTTATTTGCACTTTTTATGAAAGTTCGAGGGCTTATTTGATAGTTCTCCCATAAAAAATAAAATTTAAGTGTGTTGTCCAAGAAAGGTAGACTAGCAAATCATTTTAAATACTGTGCGCTAATCTACGTATAGCAAAAAACAAAATCTATGTGTAGCTTTAATTTTAGGTACTCCATTTTATTTTATGATTTATATATCTTTCTTTATATTTTTCTAGATAATTCAGTAAATTAAGTTACTTCAACTTCAGCGCGAATTCAACTATTTCAATCATTTTAATTTTTAAGTCTCACCAAATGGGCTCGTACCTGAAATAATCACTTAATTGCGCATGTGTTGTGTATACTTCAGACAAAAAGATCTTATCGCGTATGATGATTAGCGAGATTGGAAACCAACTCAAGAAAATCCATTCACAAATTGGCTTGAATAAAAACTGCAAGTAGCAATATTGAATAGCAAACCTGTCTTCTTGGCTCAAAACGAATAGTCAATGTGTGTACAAGGAATGGATCCAAAGGTGGATCCTCAGGTGTCATAGGACGGAATGAAGAAAATGGCACTCTCACCTGTGTCAAAAAAACAAGTCTTGTCATCAACAATTAAAAAAACACAAATTGCACAAAGTTTTATGTTCAATTAACTCGCCCTGCAAAATCCAGCTTTTGTGCTCATTCTTGTGAAATACATTTTGCTTTCAGTTTTATCTGCTGAAGGACCAGCTTCAAGAATAAATATGTACGACCGCCCATTCCCACCAACAGATAATACTAGGCCCTCATACCTAAGCATCACAAATATGATTTTGGAATGAGTTATTCCATTGTGGAGAGTAAAATAACAGCTAAATTGGGTCACCCTTGCCTCAAAAAGATCTTGATGAGACATGGATTACCTCAAACTTATCATATGCTAGATTCAAGTCCAGTAAAAAACTGTGTTGAATACTCAACACACCCCACAAACCAACCCTTAAAGGGTTGCTTCAAGCCTCCAACCCATCGAGTGGGCAGGAACGCATAAGGTTTATATCAGAATACAACATTACTCAAACCCAGTAGACAACTTCTGTGAGATACTCAACGAGAATTACAGGGGTTAAGCAAGCAATGCAAACCTGTCAAGTGTGTATCCCAAAGGAAGTGAAAGCTTTTTTGACAATTCAACATACCCTCCTCGTGTAAAAACATATCCTATTGTGAAACCAAAAAATAAAAAGAATGAGATTATGATTTTCTCATCCTACTCTTTAGAATCTTTCATTTAACTTTGGATGTTGGTTTTCAGAGGGTTAAGTTTTATCTTAATATACATCTAACATTTTAAAAAAATTATAGAATAACACAATATATATGCTTCTAACAATTTAATCATCCTTGATTCATTTTTACGAATCTTAAATTTACCAAGATAGAAACTTATACCTCCAAATCCCTAAAACAACATCCATCCAAACTGACCCTAAAAAACAATCTATCCACACCATAAATCAAGGGTATCAGGATTACATTTTTTCTCTTGACATAGTGAATCTCCATAGTATAACAAACTCATTATTCTATGTCAAATGGCAAATTACTTCAATAATGTCAGCCCATTCGTTGTGTCTCATTGATCGATACCTGAAAAAACAGCATCCCCAGTTTCAGTAAACTCAAAATTTGCATCCATCCCTCCATCATACTTCATAGCAATTCCATCTTGGAAGTATGTCCCCTGACGGACTTCCCACTCATTCAATGAATCTTCAGACTTGAACTTTGCTATTAAAAGCTTGCTTTTGCTACTTTTTCCAGCCCTCATCTGTGCCAGCTTGTTATTATAGTCCTACATGCGACCATTTTATTTTGAACGATTAATGAATGTAAATATTGGTCACAGGGAAATACATGTATCCCCCTCCCCCCTAATCCTAAAAGGATGTTGCCTTGTAACTTTTTAGCAATAAACTTTCACAAGACAGTCCTATCACTTTCGGCTCAAAATTAACACTTTTGGATTGAAAACCATATCTTTACAAAATATATTAAAATGCTCTGTTTGTAGAGGTGATAATTTTAGCTTAAAGTGATAATATAGTTTTTTGTTGAAAAGTGGTATGGAGTATGTCTCATCTCTACCTACTCAACCCTCGCGCACACCACCATTTTCACTTTCTCCCACCAAATAGGTCTCCCTCATACAGGAGAAGATTCGCGCACACAAGTTTTTGTAAACCATTTTTTGTTCAAAATCATTTATCACCATTAAGGTTAGTCTCATCATTTATCACCATTAAGTAGTACAAGATCTTATATGTTATTTTATTAATTTTTATATAACCAATCTAACTCAAAATGAGCTATGGCAAACCATGAGTGTTAATCAAACAAAAAACCTACAGTTGCACAAAATTATAATTACAGTACCATATTAAGGCCTGAAGTTTTGTCAAAATAAAAATCCGGTACGACTCATACTAGTAAGTAGTAACTCAAAATCTTATATAGTACTCGGTATATATATTAGTGTGTTATTTCATATTTATATGATATGGCACAAAGCATTCTAACACCTAGATTAATTTGTCCCACACTTTCGTCATAGGGTCCCAAGATTATATGGATCACATCTTCTGTAACTGTGTAACAGATATTCAAATTAAAAAATTCATTCCAAAAGGTTAGCCTAAGATATTTAAAATTTGGAATTTCATTCTATAAGGTTGACCAATAGGTAGTTGACGATTGTTGGTTTATGATTGTAATTTCTAACCAATTTAATTATTTGCTTTATTTTTTCCAAATGACTAAATCTAACCAATTTAATTATTTGCGTTATACTTTGCGGCAGTGGGGTAATGATGATGATGTTGAACTTAATTACTAGCGCCTCTAAAACACTGGCACCTCTAACCTATGGGCAAACTTGAAGGCCAGAGAACTATGAAAAAATAGACACTTTTTAGGATGGAGGGAGTAGTGGAGTACTAATGGAGTACCTGGAGAGCTTTGGTAAGGTTGTAAACCCCCTGATAATCCACCCTATTGAGATCCAGTGTAATGGTGGAGCGAGCGGTTGCACAATATATGATCTTGTTGCAGCCTTGAACGGCATCGATGAGAGTTGAAGAATCACCCACATCCCCAATCACAACCTTTACAGATGTGGGAAGCATTGCCATCACTTCTTCATCGGCTCTCCTCACCAGAGCCTTGACTGTGTAACCCCTGAGCATGAGCTTCCGTATGATGATCCGTCCTACACGGCCGGTGGCTCCTACGATGAGGATGGTGGTGTTCTGAGCCCCTGGGGTGGGGAATTCGCACATCGGACCAACCTCAGCGTCAATGAGGCTCGAGGAGGACATCTGACCTAATCCTGAGAATTTCCGCCACACCTCATCGAAAATTTGACGGGAACGTCGCCCTAACCCAACTGGGTTCACGTCGTCGAGCCTCTTTATGACGGAAACTGGAGAAGAAGAAGATGATGACGATTGATCCTTCTCCTCGCTAGTAGCAATTACGGCTTCATTACCATTTTTGATCACCTCCTCGCCTTCATCATTGTCGATTCCGATGTTCTTCCTCGTCCTCCTCCTCCTCTTTTTCTTGTTCCCGCCGGCGGAGTCTGGAGTAGAAGAAGAGACACTTGCTCTGGAAACGAAAAAATTACTCCTTTTGGATGTCGTGAAACGAATTACTCCGTCGGTCTGGGAACCAAAGGCAGCCGGCTTTGATCTCCATATCAGATTATTGTTAAGGTTAATCCGAACTACCGTAGCAGCAGTGAAAACACTACTCATGTCTTCAAAAATAAAAACTTTTGAAGGATCTCATCTGATTTCGTCAAATTCCTGTCGGGCCCTTATTTCGAGTTTCTGCGGAATAGCAACGACCGGCGTCGATCGGAGGAAGGGACGACGGGGCAAGCGGCGAAAGCTGCTGGTGAGCTACTGCCTACTGGCTAGTCAGTAACTCAGCAGATGCCAGATAGCATGGTAATGGGCATAATTTCATGGATAAGCGGATAATGATTATAGTGTATTTTGTTTCTATTTGTGCTATGGCCTGTAAGGTAGCCGCATCATTTAGCATCAACCAGCAGTAGCAGCCACTCATTTCCCTTAGTTTTCAGTTCACATTTCTTCCCACCAAAATAAGCTTCCGTTCAATTTTTTAGATCATAGACTATTCAAAGTATCAATAAGGTTTAATGCACCAAATTACGTTCTGATATGAAAATTCGGCGCATTAGTTCTTGTGATTTAAAAAATACGTCAAACTCTCTTGTATTTTAATTAATTATGCGCAAAATCCCTTCTATGAATAAATTCAATTGTCAAATACTTCCTCCGGTTCTGAAAGATCTTTACACTTTCCATTTCCAAAAAGATCTTTACACTTCTTTATTTGCCTTATTTGGCAAATAAATCTACACAAAACAGTGCCAAACAGTGTTTATTTCCTTAAAAACTGTGAAGTCAAAGTGTCAAGATCTTTTGGAACCGGAGGGAGTATAAGAAAAATGATTAACATTTTTGTATGATTTAGAAATTTTGACATATTCACTTGCATATTCAATCAGAATATTGGGAAAAGTGATCTCAAAATCATTAAATTTAGTCATAAAAAGGGTTCTGTGCATGATTAATTAAAACACAAGGGGGTTTGACGCATTTTTCAAATCACATGAGGCTAATTCGCTGAATTTCTATATCACAAGGGGGTTTGATGCATTAAACTCATATCAATAATCACCTTAGTTACATTTTTGTCTACATGTTTTATTTTAGTATGTCACGAGGGAAAACTGTCTACTTATGCAGAATTTAAACACTCAAATTAAATATAACGGAAAAGGCATAAGAGAGATCACATATAACGCGAACCACTAATGCTAAAGGTACCCCAAAATGGGGCACCCCATTCTTACTTTGGCCTAATGTGTGGCCACAAATGGGGCAACACATTTAAGTGGTGACCCGGTTAAATGTGTTGCCCCATTTGAGGCCGCACATTAGGTCGGGATAAGGAAATGGGGGTACCCGAGAGCTGGATTTCCTAAATTTTGCAATGGAGAGCATCGTGTTTTAAAATTTTCAATTTTTCCCCTTAAATCTCTTTATTCCACACCGAAAGAAGAGAGGGATTCTTCTTTCATAGATATCTATTTAAACTATTGCATCTTCTAGGATCAAAGGGAGATTTCAACAAATAGGACTTAATCATACTAATTTTCCAAAATTAAGACTATAGATTAGGGTAAGACTTAAGTATAGGAGCTTTGACCAAATTGCCCTTCATTTTACCCTTCATTTTAAAACCCCTGCGCATCAAACAACTTCAATTCGCTGACACCCTGCATCCCCTGCCCATCGTTCCAAACAACTTCGCATAAACCCCCTGCCCTTCGTTCCAAACAACTTCATCGATTCAGATCGATCAAATTACCACCGCCGTCGATGTCGAAATCACCGTCGCCGACACACTAGATACCTACTCCGGTTGACTTCATCGGATGCCACCGCCAAAGGTGTTTTCTTCTTTCTCATCTTCTTCTTTTCTGATATTGGACATTGATTTTGCCAATTTCGAACTTCTATTTCATATTTTCACAAGGCCACCATGTGTTATGCAAAACTTTTGAAGAAATCAGATCTAAAATCAAACTTGCAAACAATAGACAATACATAGACATTAAGTAGACAGTAAGTAATCATTAAACACACAATAAGTTATGATAATAGCTCAATAGCAGAGCAGGTCATGTAAAACAATACACACACACACAATTCACTATATCTAATGATGAAATAACATTGAGAGGTTGTCGAGAACTCCGCAATGAAGCAACATAGGTAATCTAGCCCTCGTTAAAATCGTCGACGGCCATTAATGGTGGAGCCGTAGACTCCAGAGCCAAGATCTGCCGGAATGTATCGTTAGAACAGACGGACATTTTCAGACTCCGCAATGAAGAAGGATGGAGAGCTGGAAGAAACATCGGTATAACCTATGTCATCAGCGTTAGTTTTAATAAGTCAGCGTTAGTTTTAATACGTGAAGGGTAAAATTGGAAATTTAAAATCAAGTTTTCAAAATTAGAACTACATAGCTCTTACGGAAGGAAGAAACATACATATGTACTATTTTTATAAAATTGCTTTGATTAAGTCCTACACGAAGCAATTTTCTCTATGATCAATTACTACAAACTACTTAAACTCAACACCAACAAGGTCCCAATCTCAGAGAAAATGACCGAAGAGCGTAACATTTTGGAAAACTATTCCAAAAGTGTAAAAAATTTGTACATGGCAACAAGTTGTGGGACCCTCAAAAAATAAATCCCTTAATTTTTAAAATCTTTATAACTTTTGCATTTGTTTTCCATTTTTTTATTAAAAAAATATCAAAACTCATAATTTTTAATTATATTTCATATGACATCAATATTACATATATAAAGTTTTTTTTTAAAACTTCGAACTGTTGGAGTTTTTGGACCCAATTTTTTTCTTAAATAGATTCAAGTACTAAAATTCAGATCACATGATTTTGTACACTTATTCACTCACGACAATATTTGTAAATTAAATCTTTACGATTATTCTTTTTTTGTTTTATACTTAAATCATTGGAGCATGTAATTGTTTATTGTCTTTTTTTTTACTTCAGGGGGCGTCTCGGGAAGGGGGGCTGGGGGTCTGGAGTAATTAGGGTTGAAACTCACTGCATTAAGTTTCGAACCCGAGACCTCTTGTAAGGGAGAGTGAGTCGGCGACCAGCTGGAGTTTAAAAACTCAAACATTTTTTATTCAATTATTTTTTACGAATTATTATGATTTAAAAACTCAAACATCCCAATGTAAATTAAATAAATTTGGAGTTTAGTTTTTTTATTATTACACCAAGCCTATTTTTGAAAAAAAATTGATAAGGTGTAAAAACATTAATCGTGAGATCTTGATTTTATCACTTCAATCTCAAATTTAATTATTTATCACTCGAATCTACCTGAAAAATTCAGATCTTAAATTTTTTTTTTAAAAACTTTATATGTACAATATTGGTGTCATATGAAGGGTTATAAAAAGTTAAATTTTTTAATATATTTTTTTAAACAATGAAAAACAAGTGAAAAAGTTATTAAGCTTCAAAAAAGAAAAAAATAATAATTTAGAGTGAGGCAAATCATTTTCTAAAACTTACACTTTTTGGAATGGAATGTAAGGAACATACTCTTTTTGGGGTTAGCTTTGCTTACTTTTTTGCATTTCATGTTTTAAGCTCTCTTTTAAGTTTTTCTTTATACGGAGTATCTTTCTGAGTTTTTTCCAGAATAAGGTTAATTAAATAAATTATTCCTGAAATACTGTCGGGTTAAGAATAATTCCTAAAATACTGCTGGAATTAACCACGGTTAAGGAAAGCCGTCACTCCAAGTGGCGGATCTCGTATTACTTCACAAAAACCGTCACTTCAAGTGGCGGCTCTTCTCTTACGTCCCATTTTGTACATATATAAAACGTAGTATGTTTCAAGAATTTATTTAACTGCCTTCCCGGTTGAGTTTTGAGCTGAAACTTGGTATGCATAAACTAGACTTGATGAGAAACATTCTCAAAAAAATTCATCAAAAAATTCCACCCGAAACACCCTCTGATGGTGTTGTCCGCGGGGGGTTCCGGTCAGAACGTCATGACAAAAGGGTGGTCCGGCCACCTCAATTTGAGGTGACTCCGGGTGGGATGTTTTGCTGAATTTTTGCGTGTACGTTAGTCATCAAGTTTAGTTAATCCATATCAAATTTCAGAACTAATATCAATCGGGAAAGCAGTCAAATGATTTTTTAAAGATAACTGTGTTCTATATGTATAATCTGACGTAGTTATCTTTCAAAACTCATTTGACGGTTTTTCGGATTGAATGTTTTGCTCAAACTTGGTATGACTGAACTAGACTTTGTTAAGAACATACACAAAAAAATTCATCAAAACATACCACCGGAAACCACCTCAAATTGAGGTGGCTGGACCACCCTTTTGTCATGACGTCCTGACCGGAACCCCCCGCGTACAACACCATCAGAGGGTGTTTCCGATGGAATTCTTTGATGAAATTTTTTGAGCATGTTCCTCATCAAGTCTAGTTTATGCATACCAAATTTCAGCTCAAAACTCAATTGGGAATGCAGTTAAACAAATTCTTGAAACATACTGTGTTTTATATATGTACAAAATGGGACGTAAGAGAAGAGCCGTCACTCCGAGTGACGGCTTTTGTGAAGTAATACAAGAGCCTTCCTTAACCTTGGTTAATTCCAGCAGTATTTTCGGAATTATTCTTAACTCGATAGTATTTCGGGAATAATTTATTTAATTATCATTATTCCGGGGAAAAACTCTATCTTTTTTTCCTACATCTCCTTCATTTTTTCAATTTTTTTTGTTCTTTAATATATATATATAGGAGATTTATTTTCCTATAATTGAAAGTTCATAGCGATAAAGTACTAAATTCATAATGTACTACCCCGTATTTACTTTCAGTAAATTCACAAAATTCTGATACAGATAAAGGATATGCTTTGTTGAATTCTCACATGCCAAAATCCATACTAGCTTGGTTCTGTAACATTTTACCAACTTATATTTGCTAGTTGTCTCATAAAAATTAACATTCTCCGTATGTAATTTATTCTTTTTAATGTGATTCTTATTAAATACTCCGTATGTAATTTATTCTTTTTTATTCCTCATAAGGGTCAAACTTTAGTAAAGTTTCACGGAAGAGTGAGAGCACATATTATTGATACGGGAAATTAGAATAATAATATGACTAATATAATTTAATAAAAGTTATAACTTTTATACATTTATGATTTTTTAACAAAGAGCATATCAGAATCACTTTTATATGATAAATCATTTTCTGTAAAAATACATCATTGGTCAAAGTTTAATTTAAATGATTGAAAAATTTTCAAAGATTACAAATTAAAGTTTTTTGGGATGAAAAGAGTAGTTTATATCCAGAGCAACTAGGTTTTAATAACAATTAGCTTTGTAATTTTAAAGTTTAAAAGTTTTTTTAAAAAAATTGTAGCTTTTGTAGAGAGTGTTGGGAAAATGTGTTAAAATTGCATTAAATGGTCTTTTTGGGGCAATTATTTGAGTGGGGTCCACTTCCGATTTGGGTCGGGTCAAAGTGGTTTCGGATTGTCCTTGTTAAGGGCTACAATTCGATATATGGTACACTCAAAACGGATAACGGGTGAATGATAAATTGATTCTCGAAGTTCACTCGTTGAAATGGAAAAACTGGGAAAATGGTGAGTTTCTAGTGTGTTTTATCCCACACCGAAAAACTCAAGGGATTTTCACCCCCTTATGAAGGGAAGCCTCTTTTAAGGAGTTAAGATTCCTAAAGGGAAAGGCTCTC